GAGACACCTGATCCCCTGGAGCTGGAGTCAACAGGCAGTTGTGAACTCCCTGCTATGGGTGCTGGAAACTCAGCTCCAATCCAGTACAAAAGCCTTATGCTGAGCCATTGCTCCAGTCCCATAAGACGGGTTTACCATGTAACCCAGGCCAGCCTCTAACTTACCCTCTTGTCTTATCCTTATGAATTGATGGAATTACAGATAAATGCCACCATGCTCAAAAAATTTTAATGGAACAAACTAGTGTTATGGGGTAGAGTTCAGTCACAAGTGTTCCTAGAACTTAATCATGTTTAAAGGTTTTACTACATGAAAGATGCCTTGTTTGACAAACAAGACTTGGCAGTCTCACACTGCCACCTGTAGAGGTATTGCATACAGACCTCCAGTAAAGTTCCTTGGTCTGTTCAGCACTTTCATTCATTGTGCATGAGACTTGAAAGTAAAAAAGTTGGATGTTTGGAAAAGCAGCAGCCTTGGCTTCATGTTGGTTTTGTATAAAGGGATGTCGGCTTTCTATGACCAAACAGTACCTCAGGTTTGTCAGTGGAAAAGAGGAGTGGTTTATCTGGGCTCAGATTTATTTGGCGGTTTCAGTCCAGGACCAACTGGCCCCATTATTTTGGGCCTGTAGTGACATGGTAGGTACATCATGGCAAACATGGCAGAGGAGGCCCATTTACCTTGTGACAATGCATAGAAGAGACCAGAGACTCACAGTCATAAAGAGCATATCTGTATTTTTGACCAGAGAGTTCACTAGGTAGGGGACTGCCCTGTACAGTGTAGGATATTTAGCAGGGTCACTGGTCTCTACCCACCAGATAGATGCCAATAACACCCTAGTTGTGAGAGAAATGTTGTTAGGCATTGTCAGGTATCCTGAAGGGCAGAACTTCCAGTTGGCATGCTATCCTTAGTCCCACAGTCACCCAAATTAAAGGCATCACACCCGGTTTGCTGGTGGACTACTGTGCTGTGCCCTCTGCTATTACCAACAACGTCCAAACTTGAATATACACACAAAGACCAACACAATCTTGATTCAACCTGGCCAGTGTGCTTTTCACGTGAGTGGTCTTGGGTAGTTTACATGGCTCTGTAAGTTACAACTCCTTGTGGTTATCTGCAAATTCAGATTTACTCCTGCAGGGACTTAACTCCAACATGTCTGTCTGGGATTTGAGTGTGTACCTGAGATCAGTGCTGCAGGGGGCTTCAGCTGGGCCTTTGAGGAGTTTTGCTGATTGATGGTAACCTTAATGAAATATCTGAGTGGATCTGACTCTAGTTTCTGTTGGTTAAATTAACTGTAGCCCTCAGAATAGCATAAAAGGTAAGTCAAGGTTAGCCAATAGTGTGTCAAACATGAGTGACAGGCAATCTGCCACAAATCCTATGTGTGTCTACATACATATTCTAGTACATACACTGCCAAAAATATAACCCATTGGCTGCTCTTGACCTGTGCCATGTCATATTTACATTTACATTCTGTGAATCCTGAGGTTTGATAAGGTAATGTCTCCTTCAGAAAAAGTAGGCTTGGTACCAAAGTGAACATCTTAAAATGTTGTCCTGTACAATATAACCTGTTACAATATGGACCCTCAGGATTTGGGGCATGGGAAACAAAGGAACACAAAATCAGCCAATACTGCTGTAAAGTCCTCAGTTTCTGATCCAGTAGCCTCATGTCTTCTGCCAGGATTTATGAAACTGCAGCAAGCCCACATGTATAAAACACAAAGCACCATGGAGCATGCCTTTAATTCCAGGCAGAGGCAGGCAGATCTCTGTGAGTTTGAGACCAGCCTGGTCTACAGAGCAGGTTCCTGATTCTGAAGCAAATTTGACTTCTGGAGTAAATACCAGGGTTGGAGAGATGGCACAGTGGTTAAGGGCACTGGCTGCTCTTCCAGAGGACCATGGTCGATTACTAGCACCCACAGGGTAGCTCAGTTATCAATAATTCTGCTTCAGGAGATACAACACCCCTGGGGACTAGGTGTGCTTGTGACGCACATACATATTTTAAAAAGTATTTCAACATGCATCTGTTGGTCAGCTTTCTGTCATGGTGTTTTTGGTTGCTTGGTACCACTGCCTTTGTGCCTGAGTGACAGTCTAACATATTAGGTAGGTGTGGCAGAGGAGGTTACTTACTACATGGCAGCAAGGATGCAAAAAGAGAAGGTATCAGGGTTCCAATATCTACCAGGTCTCTGTCTCCCAAGCAATGTAGAAATAAGGGTATGCACCACCACGCTTGGCCTTGATCTATTTTTTTTTTTTATTTTGTTTTTGAGAGACATGATTTCTCTGTGTAGCCCCTGGCTGTCTTGGAACTTGCTCTGTAGATCAGGCTGGCCTTGATCTCACAGAGATCTGCTTGGCTCTGCTTCCCCATTGCTGGGATTAAAGGTGTGCATCACCACGCCTAGACTAATTATTATTTGTTGTTTTTTGTTTTTGTTTTGTTTTGTTTTTCGAGACAGGGTTTCTCTGTGTAGTTTTGGTGCTTGTCCTGGATCTCACTCTGTAGACCAGGTTGGCCTGGAACTCACAGAGATCTGCCTGGCTCTGCCTCCTTAGTGCTGGGATTAAAGACGTGTGCCACCACCACCTGGCACCTAATTATTCTTTAAAAAATAGGTCTCGAGCCGGGCGGTGGTGGCGCACGCCTTTAATCCCAGCACTCGGGAGGCAGAGCCAGGCGGATCTCTGTGAGTTCGAGGCCAGCCTGGTCTACCAAGTGAGTTCCAGGAAAGGCGCAAAGCTACACAGAGAAACCCTGTCTTGAAAAACAAAAAAACAAAAACAAAAACAAAAAAAAAAATTTCAGAGTTTTAATTTGTTCTGTGCAACCAATCCCTCCTCCTCCTCCTCTCCTTCTCCTTCCCTGCTTGTTTCCCAAGGCTCTCCTGCATCAGTCTCCCTGTACTGGGATTACAGGAATACCCGTGGGCTTCTTTTTAATGAGTTGTATGGTGGTTGTAAACTTTTCCAGGCTAAGAAAATATCAAAAACACTTTAAAGGCTTATTTTTTCATTCATATCTTTGTGTCTGTGTGAGCGAAAGGCACCTGGATGCAGGTGCCCTTGGGTCTGGAAAAGGGTTTCAAGTCCTCCAGCTGAAGCTGCAGGCATTTGGGAGCTGCCTGTCATGGGTGCTGGGTCGTCTGGAAGAGCAGGATGTGCTCTTATCTGCTAAGCCATCTCTCCAGCCACATAAACGACTTTAACAGCCGAAGAGAAACACATCATTTCAGCAGAATACACGGAAAAGACACTGGATTGGTCCGCAGCGCAACTAGGCTACACTTAGGGCTCTGCCAGTGGCCAGGTCCTTTAACCTCCTTGTTGAGCTCTGTGGTAGAAAAAGAGCCTTGTAATGAAAGGAGAGGCCCCTAGATGGTGGCAGTGTTCTGAGTGAGGCTCTGGATTTTGTTTCTCCCACACAGTGAAGTAAAAAGTAAGGAAGAAAATGATTTCCCATTAGTTCTGAAAATCAACTTATGAATTCATTCAGTGACATTCGAGATGGCATTGAATCATGTCTTGTGCCCTATGTGCATCTGATATTAATTAAAAGAAACCATTAATGTTCACACCAAAGTGAAAATAATCCCTTGTACCTGACCCACATATCCACTGCTGTTTTCTAAGGCTTATGTACTCAGATTGAAGAAACTGAATACCAACAGCGATTTTTTTTAGGGACACTGCCTTATAGTCTACAAGTAAAATGTCAGTTCTAATGATACATTTTGATAAATACACTAATATTCTCTCTTCTGAATGTTACTGATTTCCAAGAGCAATGAAAGAAATTACATTCTTACTGCAGCAAGGTATACAAGGACATCTAAGGAAACACCTCGTCTTTTAGGGTTCAAAGGATAATATACTGGGTTGGGGGAATGTAGCTCAGGAGTAGAGTGCTTGCCTAGTATGCACAAGGACTGGGTTCAATCCCCCATACTGCAAAGAAAAAAGCAAAAACAAAGGATAATGTATTAAAAATGGCCTCTTCAATTTTAACCTAATAGAAAAATGGAGTATTTCAGGAGGTTTGTATGATGTGTGGTTTGGGTGTGAAGGTCCCCAGAAGGCTCACGTGTTGAAGGTTTTGCTCTCTATGTAGAGGCACTACTTAGGTGTGATCAGGTCCTGACGAATGAACTAATCCTTGATAGATGGCATCCACTGATGAGTGCACAGCTGAGCGGGATATTAGGCGGCGGAGGAAGGCTACCGAGGATGTTTCTTTGAAGAGCATGTCTTGTGCCTCGTCCTTTCTTTTCTCTCCTCCTGTTCCCTACTTCCCCCACCCTTTCCTGCTTTTTCTTTCATGGATTGTATATGGTGAAAAGCTCCCCTCCATGATGTTCTGGCATGCCTCCAGTCCACAGTGATGGAGCCAGATGGCCTTGGACTGAAAACTCCGAAACCAGGACAAAACAAATATTTTCTCCTTTAGGTTGTTTATAATCAGGCATTTTGTCACAGCTATGTGAAGCTGACTGACAAAGATAAACAATATCAAGCTGTCAACCAAAATTTGCAAACAAACTCAACAATCAGTCCCATTTCTTTCTTATAAAATTTCCTCGGCATTCAATTATTTTTTCTTGGAACATTGTTGATATTTGCCTTGACTTCAATCAATACATATAATAAGAAAGTACCTATGGAAACCCCACAGCTACATTTTGCTTTCTATTAGTTGAGAGAGAAATAAATACCAAGCAAAACAGAACATGGTATAGTGAAATGACAAAAAAACGAATTTGTTTCAATGTATATTTCTGTCAACAAAGAGGAAAGGTATTGAGTAGACTCAAGATAGTGCTGTTGCTGCCTGTGAAAGTCGTCCATCTGTCTGTCCAGCAAACCTGCCTAGCAAAGAGCCACCTCACCCACCTGTGCAAAGGATTGGAGATACAAGGATAAGGAAGATACCATCTACATTCTGAAAAATGCAGTACAGCCTGAGATAAGGAATTGCAAAGTTCAGTTCAGTTTATTGTAGTGTCAAGGAGATACACAACTATTGCACTTATCATTCTGCTTACAGAAGGCCAATATTTAAGAGGAATTTTTTTCTTCAATAAAGATAGGTTTTTCAGAATTTTTACTATTAGATGTTGAAATCTCACAGTCAAAGATACTTCATGGCCCACTCCACACTCTTGACCCCTTCTTTCTCTTGTACAGCTGGCTACAAATGAGAATTTAGTTCGGATAACTCTTTAAGTCATCCTAGTCTCATAATATTAATTTCAGTGAAAACTGACAAGAATTTTCCCTATACACTCTTCACCCAAAATGTAGTAGAAACTCCAGGTCCTAAATTCCAAAACCAAAGGCCAGGGATAGAAAATTTAGTCAAAGACAAAGTAAATATTACTTCCTTACAGAAGCCAAGTGTTTGGGTAATCAGCAGTTGCCTAGCTTTTCAGAGAATGGGAAAAACACACAAACTAAGACGTGGTCCAGCACATGGAACTCTTCTCAAAAACAGAAGAAAGCCATGAACCTTGTTGGGAAGTGTCTCACATTTCCAGTGAAACGTTAACCCACTGATCCGTCAGGAAGATTGTCTTCAATCCATTTGGCTTTAGTTTGTAAACTGTAATTGATTCAGTCACGCAAGAACCACTTTTTAAGCTCAGAACGTGTTACCCTGATCAGCAGGAAAGTGGTTCTTGTGTTTACTCCAATAACTGCAGAGATGAGCTGGGGGTGGGGGTGGGGGGCCGCATCAGCCTTCAGTCCTCTTAAATTATTTTTCCTTCTGATTATATTGAGAAGAAATGAGCTACGAGGCCTTGGTACTGTTTTTCATCTTGCCATTTGCTCTGTATTCTAAGATACTATCCATGATTCATATGTACTACTATAACATGACACAGCTTTTATGTATTACTGGGGTAATGCAAAGAAAATGAGTTTTCCTTTGGGTACCAGTAATTGTCAAAGGAATGATTGCAGATTCAGAAAGTGTGCTTTATAGTAACCCTGTTAACATAAAGTAGACACGGACAAAGAGATAGATAAGCGTGGCATGTCTGTGGGAGGGTTAGTTGTATTAGCAAGGCATCTCAGGGATGGTTTTGGTTGTTTTGACCCCTTCAAGTCCCTGGACAAATGCTGGGAAACACAAGGAGCATTTGGGGGAACATGAGCTTATTTCCCCACCTGCCTGTAAATGCTCCACTAGTTACCAAACGATCTGTTCTGAAGCAAGACTTTGCCCTGGGACTAAGACTAATGTGCTCAAGCTGTTAGAGTTCATTTGAATATCAAAAACAAAATTCAGATTACCATCCATGTCCTGATAGTTACAGCATGTAGAATGTCAAACGTCCTCTCTTTAAACTAAAGTAGAAAATGAAGAAGCATGGTTAACTGATGGGGAGAGGGTTACGAGCACAGTTCCTGCTCATCAGCCTCCCCATGCTGGCTGCCATCACCAGATGATTCCCCAGGGGACGTGTGCATCCGCCTGCCATCCCCACTAACATTTCCCTGCTGACTTGCTCACTCACGGTTCACGTACACCTTCCCACTATGAATGAAGCTAAACTATAAAACCTACATGTCTTCCTCTCTCAGAAATCCCAGTGTACCACATACATCTCAGATACTTCTCTTTCTGTTAAAAAAATAGTGCAAAATATCTGATAGTCAAAGTGAATGTTCAAGTGAGTGCTCGTGCCAAGGAACAGCCAAGCTTCACCTTCAGCTGACTTGTAGAAACTGAACGTAGTTTTTGGGAAATATTCCAGATCTTCCCATGAGCTCTCCACTCATCCAGTCATCATCCACGGGCTCCAGCTCTGTTATTACATCTCCAGCCTGGAAGAAGACAGGAGTTAGAAATCATTATTGGTTTCTGCAGGGTATAAGCACAGAGCGTAGCCTACCTGGAGCGGCATGAATAATCTTCTCTTTATAGAACTCATTTATCTTGATTTGCAGAGAGGATTAAATGATAAGCCACACAGATGATGTATACCTAATGATGACATTTGCTTGCAGGCCTCTTTTTCTCAAAGTAAACTCAATCCCCCACCACTGTCAGCCTTGCTGCGTACTGTTTCCTGCTTATGTTCACAATCCCTAATCTGAATCACTCTTTAATCAATGACAGTATCAGCTATACACACACAAGCATACATATTTTCACCTAACAAGGGTTAACAGAATACCTACTACGTGGAAGACACTGTTCTTGGTAATACAGGTGTAGTGTAGTAAATAACAGACTCACTCTAGAGTGGGAAGACAAGTAAGCCAACAGAGAGAGACAGAGAGCGCGGCTTTGCTACTCATGAGGGCCATCAAAGAAGGACACACTGACAGTCATGCTTCCGTAAGGATTACAGATGAAAGAGTGAGCCATATGCTCCCTGTGTGCTTTGTCCTAGTCCGTTCCTTACAGAAGATGAACTTACTTAAATAGCTGTACTTCTAGAGATGAGTACTATTAGTATCCTCATTTTAGAGAGATATTTTGTGTGTGTGTGTGTGTGTGTGTGTGTGCACAAGTGCCTGTGCGTGTGTGTGTATACACGTGGAAGCCAGAGGTTGATGCCAAGTGTCTCCCTTAGTCATTCTCCACCTTATATACCGAGGAAAGGTCCCTTACTTGAACCCAGAACTCACGGATTCAGCTGGTATAGCTAGCCAGCTTGTGTTGGGGGTCCCCGTCTCCCCCAGATTGTCCTGACCTCCTGGCATTTACGTGGCTCCCGGGTACCTGAATCCCGATCCTGACACATGCAGCAAGTGCCTTACCCACTGAGTACCTCCCCAGCTCTACATTTCCTTGTTTCATAGGCGAAGAATCTGAAGCTCAGCTGTCACACAACTTGTCAGGATTGCACATAAACAATTAGCGTAGAGCCAGAATTCAAACCTCAGGGTATTCTAGGGCCCATATTCCTAACAAGAGGCTACGAGGCCACCGCCACCGCAGTTCACAGTGGAAAGTTACTGTCAAGCTGCTTTGTATCAGCCTGAGCATATATATTGTACTCTGTTTTAATTCTTGCTCCTAACAGTGTTTCTCTCTAACGTGTGGCTCATTCCATCCCTCCCTAGCCTCAGCATCCATTTTCATCCAGGCCCATCTTACGTGCTTTGCCGTGACACAGAACACTGCTTTCTCCACATCTGTGTTAGCCACAGTGCTAGTGTGTCCTGCACATGTGAAAATTATCCTTCCTTTGTCAGACGAAGACATAGGATTTTGTTCCTTATGGTGTCCAGTAACTTCTTAGAGCCTGGCTTTAAAGTTCTGCCAAGGTCAAAGATGACCCTAGCTACTTCAAAAAATATCTTTACCAGGATAAATGGATTTCTTTGGAGCACTACTACACAGCTGTCTGCAGAACTTATTTGATTAAAGCCTTTCCTTTATGGAGAACGGACTGAAAACACAGAGACTATCAGATGTCATTTATCTGTTCTGCTTTGCTTAAATATGTAAAATTTTGGCTATTCAAAATTTGTTACAAATAAGTTACTTCTTATTTAAAGAGTCCCTTAGCAAAAAAACCAAAACCAAAATCAAAAACCTCCACAACTATTTGACTTACAAGCCCCTCATTCGTGAAAACAACCTGTTCTTTGTGGGGTATGCTGTGGATTCTATGACTCGACATAAATGAAAGCCATAATACCCCAAAAGTTTGAATTCAGATTCTTCACCTGCAACAACATCTTATCTGGAGACAAGGAATAAATCTTGAGCTGCAGATTTGCGAGGCTGAGAAGGAGCAAGACATCAGTTTCCAAACTTAAGGAGTGTGTGGATCAAGGCATCAGAAAAAGATTAAAGTCACTAACTTAGAGATGCCTGCCGTTTGTTAACAATATTTTATAGCAGAAATGATATTTTAATCTAAAAGAACCGTCTTGGAATAAAGGAACTATCACAAAGTAGAAGTTAGCAACTTCACCGCCACCTCTCCGGCAGCCCTGCGCGGCTGGCTAGCACCCTCTCTTGCTCACTCTGTGTAGACGAGTGAAACCTTTGTTCGGGCAGTTCTCTGTTCTGGGTCTCGTCTTAGCCCTCCACTTCCGGAGGCTTTCATTCTTTGCTTGTGATGGAATGCCTTCAAAGACAGACTTTACCACTGTGCCACAGCTGTTTGGCAGCACCAACTACAACAGTCTCCCACAGTGCAGTCCCAAAGTTCTCTCTGCCCGGATGCTTTCCTCTGACCACGGCTCAATAGAAATGTACTCCATTTCCACATTCAGGAAAGTAAGAGACACTTTTTTTGGTAAGGAAGATCAGGGTTATATTTGGATATTGTTTACAAAAATCTCCAAAATTCAGCTCAGCATTTTGGGGCTGTTTCCCAAAGCACTGGTGGGTGTCTTTGTGGACAAGAACAGCTCTTATCAGGCTACCGTGGCAGACAGTAGCCAGAGTTGTCAGACTTTTCCATCCAGATGTTAGCAGCAGGCTGGGAGGGCTGAGGAAAACAGTCTTAATGAAAACTCCCGTATCGAGATCTGATATTGTAAAGCCAAGCTACAGGGATTGTTTGAAGGCCGCGATTACTCAGCTAAGGTTTCCCCTCAGTCCTTAAATGACAGTTGATGATGCAAACTACCAGGCCTTAATCAGGCCTTATTCACTTGTTTTAGACACCCCCCCCCACCACCCTGCGCTTTGGACAAGGTTCAAGCTAGCCTCAAATCTATGATCCTTCTACAATCTCCCTCCTGAGAACTGGAATTCCAGGACCGTGTGACCATGCCCAGCTCTATGCACTCTCTTCCCTTACCTAACAATTAGGGTCTGAGAGCTCTTCATTCTTAGGTAACGATCAACATTCCATTCACATGTGCATTGCAAAGTATGTAGTGGTAGTGAGGTATAAAAAGATACAGTCTGACCTTGAAAGAGAGTTCATCTTCGTTTTCCCCGAGGAAATCATACAGGGCCTTGACCTTCCTCCCCTTCAATACTGTGGTAGCCATATTTTTTGCCTCAGCTGCAAAGACACAAGAAACTCAAATACGCGGGAAGACAATCACACAAAACACAAACATCCCAAGAACCTGTCTTGTCACTCTTTAAATATTTTCAATTAGTTTTGAATTTCTTTAACTTGCAAAAAAATAAAATAAAATAAAATAAAAAAAATTTAAAAAAAGGTTGTTCACTTAGCAGGAAAAGAATTGTCCAAAGTCTATTAGTCAAAGTCTGCCATTATTTAGTGATATCTGTATCTTTTTTTTTTTTTTTTTTTTTAAAGATTTATTTATTTATTAGGTATGCAGTGTTCTGCCTGCATGTATGTCTGCAGGCCAGAAGAGGGCACCAGATCTCATTACAGATGGTTGTGAGCCACCATGTGGTTGCTGGGAATTGAACTCAGGACCTCTGGAAGAGCAGCCAGTGTTCTTAACCTCTGAGCCATCTCTCCAGCCCCGATATCTGTATCCTTTTCCCTCCACATAGCTGACACAGAAGTGTGGGAGTGACTTTATTGATCATCTCCTCCCGATGTGGGTAAGAAACTGAAGCCAAGCGTGATCAGAGGTAAAGGAATATACACTGTTTAAGCCTTGGGCCCTTGAAGAGTAAGTCACCTCAGCAGCGGCCGTACCTGGGCAGGGCTGTACAAACACTGCCGGGAAGATGCCTTCCCTGTCATGCAGTCGGCCCCGGTACCAGTCCGAGTCTAACTGCTCAAGGATCAGGATCCGGTCTCCACGTTTGAAGGACAGGTCCTCGCTGGTCTCTGCTGTGAAGCTGTGAAGAGCCTTGCACCACTCTCCAGAAATGCTGCTCTCCTGTTTCAAAGCGGGAGTCTGGTAAGGAACGTGAGGGTTTATCCCAAGGCTTCAAAGATGATGAGGAATAAAAGCTAAGGGGTCATGGGGGCTGGTGGGATGGCTCAGTGGTTAAGAGCACATGCTTCTTTCCCAGAAGCCCAGAGTTCAGTTCCCTAGGACCCATGTCAGGCAGTTCACAACCATCTGTAACTCTAACACAAGGGGGATCTAACACCCTTGCTGGCCTCTGAGGGCGTTCACATGCATGTGTAAACGTACTCAAATAAATAGATAAGTATACAAAAGAGCAAAGGTATTATAAGAGTTCAAAACCTGAAGTTTTCTTCAAATTAGCTAATATTTTATGTTACTGTCAAGTTTCAGGAATAAATTTCCAGTAGCTTTTTTCTTAAAGTATAATTTTAAGTGACAAGTGTGACGGAATTTGTGGTTTTGCTACTTTTAAGGAACATGTAATATTTAAGCAGAAACGTTTCTCTTGTGATCTATTCTAAGATCACAAGAAGATAGGCGACTTCTATCTAATTCTCCACTGAGAACATCTTCTGTGGTGCTGGAGAGATGGCTCAGCATTGCAGAGGACTTAGGTTTGGTTCCCAGCACCCACACGACAGCTTAAAACTGCCTGTCACTCAAGTTCCAGGGGATAAGACATTCTCTTCTTGCCTCCACAGGTTCCTGCACATATACCGTGCATGCGTGAGGGGATCTGATGCCCTGTTTTGGACTCCCATGGCACTGCATGGTCATGACACACAGAATACATACAACAAAAATACCCACTCAAATAAAAGAAAATGAAAAAAAAAAGTTTTTTAAAAAAGAATACTTGCCGGGCGGTGGTGGCGCACGCCTTTAATCCCAGCACTCGGGAGGCAGAGGCAGGCGGATCTCTGTGAGTTTGAGGCCAGCCTGGGCTACCAAGTGAGTTCCAGGAGAGGCACAAAGCTACACAGAGAAACCATGTCTCGAAAAACCAAAAAAAAAAAAAAAAAAGAATACTTATCAATCAGGCACAGTGGTGCACACCTTTAATCTCAGTCCCTAGGAGGCAGAAGCAGGCTGATCTCTCTAGAGTTTGAAGCCTGTCTGTCTACATAGCAAAGCCATGTCTTCAGCTTCCCCAACGCATTAGAGGAAGGTTCTGCCCTCTGAAGAGGCAGCTCTTCCAAGCTGGATGGGAACTCCAGGTTTCAGAATCTCTAACAGGCAGTGGAGGGTACAGGTCAAGAGCAAAGGCTGGGCAGCCAGGCAAGCAAGGGTTGCAGATCCGGCTCTGCCATTTCCTGGTTTCGTGTGACACCAGGCTTCTCTGAGATTCGGTTTCATCTAAGGGTTACTGTGAGAGTCAAGTGACAGGACACAGAGAGAACACTTTCCACGGTGCCTGGTGGAACACTTTCTACTTCCCTTCTCAGTAACTGCTCGACCAAAACAAAAACCAAAAGCAAAAAAAAAAAAAAAAAAACAACAAAAAAACCCCCCCAAAACCTTACCTGCTAGGTTTGGTGGCTCACACCTGTAATCCCAACACTTGGGAAGCGGAGGCAGGAGAACTACCATATATTTGAGGCCAGCTTGGGCTACAGAATGAGATTCTGTCTCAAAACAAAGCACAAACCAAAAAAAAAAAAAATAAAAAAAAAAATAAAAAAGGAAAATTAAACAAAAAAACCAACCTAAACAAACTGTCTAATAGTGTGTGTGTGTGTGTGTGTGTGTGTGTGTGTGTAGGTCATGAAACTGGAATGAAGATCATGAGAGAGGAAGAGGCGCTTTAGGGAGAGAGGAGAGAGAGAGAGGGCACCAGACGTGGTTGTGCATGCTTGTGTTATCAGCACTTGGGAGGAAGAGGCAGGATGATAAGGTGTTCAAGGCCAGCCTGGGCTACACAGACCCTAACTCAACACCCCTCTACACAGAAGAGAGCATGGCATGGAGCACATGTGACATGAAAACAGACATGGGGACTATTTGGGAGGAAGAAGGGGAAGGAGAGACCAAAAGGCACAGTGCCTGTTTTCTCACTTCCTATCAGGGTCTGCACGGCTTCCCAAGAATTGTCTGTACAGTATTATACCAACCATCCCATCCACTACTGCAAACGTTCGCTATATAACAAGAAAAGTGGTTTCATACTGTTTTCTCTCAATGATTTAGTATCAATTCTCCCAGGGTTTAGATGCGAATAACTATAGTTATTCACTCAAGCAGCCTACCTGAGAATTCGAGCCAGGGTTTTCGTTTTTGGTCTTTGGTGGCACCTTTGTGTCTACATTAAAAAAAAAAAAAAAGTCAGATGAAAAGACTATATAGTATTAGAGGAAAATTGTTGGGTGGGGTAAGAGTGTGGAGCCTGGGATTCCAGACCAGTCTCTTTAAGTGTCAGCTTCCTGGGACTGTTTATTTAACTGTAGACCAGGACTCACAATTAACTGTACAATCCACTGTCTAAAAGTCTTGGTCATTTCTCACATGTAGTCATTGCTAACTACCTAAAATAATAAATAAAACTAGTTTCCGACATAAATTACCCTTCAAAGTAAGTTTTCCTTCTACCTACGAATACAATATGGATTTTTAAGCATCGTAAGTGTTATTAATCACTGGTTCATTTGAATTAGACAAGGACACAATAAGCACGCATATTCTCCATACTCACTTAAAATATTTGCACCAGATGTGGGATGATCCTCAACAAGTTCCACAAAGTTAAGGGGAAAAATCCCAGTTCGGTCTCGAATCTCTCCTCTGGCCCATTCCTCATTCACATACTCCTTGAGAATAATTACTTCTCCCTCTGAGAAACTTAACTCATCCTTCTGGTCTCCGATATATTCAAACCGGGCAACACATTGTGGGCCTCTGGACAAAGAAGAATATGGGTATGGGTTAAATTTATGAGCATTTACAAAACAATAAAGACCCTAATTGGCTTTACTTTCAAGCTATCATTAAGCAACACTTTTTGTTGGCTTTTGTTTTTGTTTTTTGAGACAGGGTTTCTCTGTGTAGCTAGCGTTGGCTGTCTTGGAACTCACTCTGTAGATTCAAGGTGTGCACCACCACCTGCTGGCTCAGCAACACTTCTCAAGACAGAAAAAAGTGACCAGGTGGTGGCAGTGGTGGCAGTGCGTGCCTTTAATCCCGGCACTCGGGAGGCAGGGGCAGGCCTCTGTGAGTTTGAGACAAGCCTGATCTACCGAGGGAACCCCAGGACAACCAAGGCTACACAGAGAAACTCTGCTCGAAAAACAAACAACCAAACCAAAATCAAAAACCAACCACAACAAAAACCAGAATAAAGTGTTCTCTAGTAGTAACTTTAAAAAAGCTTTTCAACTTGCTTCAGTCTTTCAATAAATATCCTGTTTACTATGGAACAAGGTATATTTGCTCTATGAAAAAACTTCCACGAAAATACATCTAAAAATGTCTAAACGACAAGGCTAATTTCTAGAAAGGGAAGCTCTTCACACAGACGGGCCAGGCTCAAGGGTAGAGACTTCAAGCGTCATTCCGGACCAGCAGCTGACTGACTGGTAGTCTACACCGCACATCTGCCTTTTGGTCAGTTTTTATTTAATTACAGAATCTCCCCAGACTCCATGTGTCTGTGTCTTTGTGCCAAAGTCAAGCATGGCCCAGTCTGAACCCTTTCAATCACGAACACGCTGGGATCGGGAGTACTCCCCCTGAGAATCTCAGGGCAAGACATCAAAGTCTTGCTTAAGAATGAGGACAGTACGAGGGGAGCATCTGCCAGGCAGAGGGGACGCTCACTCTGCACTCACTGCACCAGCGAGCTGAAGGTCCAAAGGAGCCTGACAAGTTAGAAGGCCAAGGAAAACAGAAAGTTGGCAAGGCACGCCATCTTCCATCCACGCGGTTGCTCTGCAAGGACTGTGTACCGCCTCTAAGAAGGCTGCGTTCCTGAGACTGGAACACCCTTTAGTGATCTGCAGTTTTGATGGAAAAATAAGAGACAAGCGGAGAGAGAGCTTGGTCCGTAGAAGGCTCGATTTAATACCGGACCTTTGGTTTGAGGCCTCAGAAAGCAAGTGTCAGCAGCAGAAATCTAACAAGAAAACAACTGCCTGTAACAGAAACGCTGGCCCCTGCTGAATTCAAATTCTGATCGAAGCTGGGTCAGTAGATCAATGGCTGCTCAAGCCTGTTTAAACTCAGCCTGCCCGGGGGGCATCTGTTGCTCAGAGTAGAAATGCAGCCTGAAGTACCAATGACTGGATGCCGTGGCCCCGAAAGTTTTCCTATTGGTGATAACCTTTGCATTTATTGTCTCCAGTCCCCTGGGAACGCCTCCTTATGCCTGACCTATTCACAGACAGGTTTACAGTCTTCACCAGGTAGTGAATTGTACTAATTTGCTCATTTTACTAGAATATAAAGCTGCATTGTGGCGGGGCTTTAAATCACACAAGAGTTACGACGAGGCATAAAAGGCACATAAATCCCTGGAAAGGTCTCATGAACACAGGAACACACAGGAGGAGGCCGCAGCTTAACTCTTCTCCCACTTTTCTAGTCCTTAAAAACAAAACAATACAAGACGTCTACCAGGGTGCAGTTTCTTGGTTTCATAGGTGGGATTCGAACCCAGAGCTGTATACACTGCTAGGCAAGCATTTGGCCACTTAGCCGGGCCCTGGCCTCACCTGGCTGTTTTTTGTAGGATTCATAGTTTATAAGATAGACATATTTTTCATGAGGAAAATAGTTGAAGTTTCTAGAAAAGCTGCTAACAAACACCAGGAAGCCACACTAAAAACTCACTGAGGACAAGACCGTCTCTACAGGCTGCAGCCAGGCCAGGGCAAGTTCCCTGAGACTGCTTGGTCACTGTCCCCAGGCCTGCATGGAAGGCTGCTTAAGCTGGCTTCTATCAGCCTACTGCACGGACTTTTAAATGTGTTTCTTTTTTAACAGTTTTCTTCTTCTTCTTCTTTTTTTTTTTTTTTGGTTTTTTGAGACAGGGTTTCTCTGTGTAGCTTTGCGCCTTTTTCTGGAACTCACTTGGTAGCCCAGGCTGGCCTCGAACTCACAGAGATCCGCCTGGCTCTGCCTCCCGAGTGCTGGGATTAAAGGTGTGCGCCACCACCGCCCAGCTCAGTTTTCTTTTTTTATTCATTATGCGTATGAATGTTTTGCCTGAAGTATATATGTGCACCACAGGTATGCCTGGTGCCCACAGAGGTCAGAAGAAAGCACTGGATCTCCTGGAACTGGAGTTACGGATGGTTGTGAGTCACACGTGTGTGCTGAACCCAGGTCCTCTGTAAGTTGCTCTTAATTGATGCACCATTTCTCCAGGCTCTCCTTCTCTCCTTCCTTCCCTCTCTCTCTTTCTTTTCCCTCTGCCCCCCTCTAAACAGTGTGGGTGTGCACGCATATACCTCAGAGGCCAGCAGAGGGCACCAGATCCCCTAGAACTGGAGTTGGGTGATTTGTAAGCTACCTAATGTGGGTGCTGGGAATTGAACTTGGGTCCTCTACAGGTGCAGGATGCATCCTAACCACTGAGCCATGTCTCCAGCCTCTCACTATCACATGCTAAGCAAATAAAATTTCCTCAGAATTAAAGACACTGAGAATCTGGCTAATCATGCAATGGAAATGATTAAGCTTAGAAATCCTTCATTTCTTCCTCCTTTTAATTTTGTACAAAAGCACACAGACCAAACTTACTTAGCACAGTGAGACGAAACTGATTCTCTTTTTCCACCTCTTCCTTCTGGAATATCAACCTAGGAAAGACAAAATCAGGGCAACACTTGCTTCTTTTTCATAATTTGGTTGAGATAAATTTAACATCAAGTAATGAGGAAATGCATGATTACAATTCCAGGGAAGCTAGCTGTTGAATGGATTGGAGGTATAGTTGCTGAACACTAAGAAAACCAAAAGTGAGTTTTGGAAAAAATGTACAGGTTCAGCTGGATGTGGCGACACACTCCTATAACACTAGCACACAGGAGGCTGAGGCAGGAGGATCATGAGGTGGAGGCTAGCCTCTGCTACAGTAGTGAGACCCTGTCTAAAAGGGGTGGAGGGAGAACAGCTCCTGATGTAGTCCTCTTTGGGCAACCAATCACCCTGCGGCCGTGAGCACATTAACATCATTCTGTCCCTGAGAATTCTCTACACTCTATCCAAGGACAGCCATCGGCCATCAGCCATCAGGTCACAAAACTGCTGCCCTGTTCAAACCAAGAGCAGGATATGGCAACACTTCCTGGTCCCCAAATGAGGCGTTTGATCAGATTTGTGAATTCTCTCCATATATTGAAGGGGACTTTCCCCCTTTACCATCAGGGTAGGAAGAAAGTAGTACGTACTAAATGAGTGTCCACTAAGCGCCAGGCACTTCAGTAAATAGCAGAGCTGGGCTGGAGGAAAACTCTCGGCCATACGCATGCAGCGAAAAGCTACTTAAGACTGTGAGGTCTATATTAGATCAACGCCCTTCTAAATAAATTCTCTAAGTTTGATGTTTTAAAACGATTCTTTAAACTTGTGGGCTTAGGAATAACATTTATACCAATAATGTGGCCGACTGGGTGTGATTGATTGCAGTGTGGTAATTGTGCTTTTTAAAGCCCCGTTACACCGAGCAGAAGAAAAATGGAGAGTGCTAAAACTAACATCACTCTTAATATTAATTTAGGGAATGCGGTTAGATTTCTCCAAAGAACCAGGCCACATCTACACTGGGCAATTTTGAAGATCTACATTTCATAATCCAAGAGACTCAAACTCTTCTCTATTTGAAAAATACAGATTTTCTGTCACACTTTCTGAAGTTTCTGATGTAATGGAAAATTACCATTTTTTCCCCTTCAAAATAAGCTGTTAACTTTTAAGCTAGCATTGGTATTTCATAGTATCAATGGGTTATATCAAGGAGTGAGTCATATTTTTCTCATTGACACAAGTATTCAAGGAGCAATTCTTGTTTTGTCCCCATGTTTCATAGTCATTGAGGCTTGGCATGAAAACCATCAACATGCTGGAGTGTGCTCACAAAGTTAAGCTATCAGGCGCCCTACAATTTTGATGCTTCAATAATATCATTTTCTCCAACCAGACTTGAAAATATTATGTGAAAAGGCATTAGTGGACCACTCCCTCCAGTGAGAGGGCCTTGGTACCCTCAGACTGACATGGTACCTCAGCCCCACAGAACACCCCTTCAGAACTGCCTAATGGCACTAAACTCGTGTTCACTAAGAATCAACATACACCCGTAAGTGCTTCGGAACCCTCCAAGGATAAATGATCTACCCACTGATCGTCCTTCATCGGAGCATGGTGGGCTCAGCAGTGGACACACAACTGAAGATAATGATCCACCCCCACCCCCCCAGACTCTAGCAGCAAGGGGTAGGGCCCTGTGAATCCTTATCTCTTCCACAACTGATTGCTGACAGAGCCAGTCTGTGTGGGGAAAAGATTTATTTTAAAAATGTCCAAATGGCAATGATCAAGAGAAGACAGAAAAGAGGAACTCACGACTTATAGTTCCCCTTTCTCACCTGTGAGTCTCACTGAACCACTGCATCTGTGGCCAAATAAAATACACAGAACCCACTTACAATAACTTTGACGTAATTGGCAGGAAAGACGCCAATCTGGTTTCTACATTTCCCTCTGTACCATTCTGCATCGATTTTTTCGAGAAGATAAACAATTTCTCCAGATGTGAGACTCAGATCATCCGCCTGCTCTGTAATACAGAATTAGTGACGCACGATGAATTACCCCAGCCGCACATGTGACTAAAGGGGAGCACAAAGCAGCATTTAGATCTGTCCACAGCGACCCTATATTCTACTGATCCTGAGACAGACTAGATTACACGGGTCAAATTATTTTTTTCATAACATTTTATTTAAAAAATTTGATATTAGAGGGTCTCTTTTCTAAGACCAGATTAGATATATCCAGCAAGGGAAACCGTTTTTAAAACCACCATTGTCCTGGCCAGTGGTTCCCTCTGTGCCAATGGAAGCCTCTTGCTGAAAACACATTCAATACTGAAAGGCCTTTCTAGACATGGCATGATACACTGACCATTATTCCCAGTCACCCTGAAAAGCCATTCCAACTTCAGATATTAACTAAGGGAGTACTACGGCTCTTTGGGAAGAAAATTTATCTACACTAAAATACAAACCAGCCTGCTAAGTAAATATAAGTAAGTTGTAAACAGTTTTTTAAAAAATTAGCAGCCTTGGCTATGAAGGATAACTTAAAATGATTACAAAAATCTAATATTTTGATCTCCTAGGTAAGTGGTGGGTGAGACACATTAAAAAAATCTCTTTTAAAAACCCATTTTATTAAATTAGAATTAACTTCATCACAATGCTAAACAAGTAAATATTCTAGCCTGAGCCCCTGAAGGATGCTGTTTTGAGCTATAACTTCATCACAGAGTTAAAGTTTGTAACTGGAAAGCAATGGCCATTTTTCCTTTGTATGGGGGACCCCCATCCCTCTCAAAGGATGGCTTTCCAGCTAAGCCTTCTGGCGTGACTGGGTGCACGGCGCCTTCCTGAAGGCAGAGTTGATGGATAAGATGATATCCACAGTCAGGATTCTACAGGCACAGACAATGAGGAAGGAAGGCTTTGACAGGGTATCGCAGGACTCCATCAGCTTATTATTTATGTCCTTACCTGCTGGGAAATCGTGAAGGACCACAGCATGGGGAGCACCACTGTCCACAGGCTTCTGAGTGTGGCCTGAATCCTTGGGGGGAAAAACAGGGCTGTGAATGGAGTGTGCAGGATAGAACTGGTTGCATTATTCACTCTGAGATCATTTTTTTTTCTTGTTAGCGTCCCCCCAAAAGAATTGCTATGAGCACCAGATGCAAACCACACAGGTGAGCTAGACAAGGGAATCATTATCACCTGGAAAAAGAATGTGTCCTTGCCAGAGAGGGGGCAGAAATGACTTTCAATTGCATATCATTAAGCATCTCTCTCTTTTTTTTTTTTTAAATAATTTAAGATTTTATTTATTATGTATATGGTGTTCTGTCTGCATTATGCCTGCAGGTCAGAAGAGGGCACCAGATCCCATCACAGATGGTTGTGAGCCACCATGTGGTTGCTAGGAATTGAACTCAGGACCTCTGGAAGAGCAGCCAGTGCTCTTAACCTCTGAGCCATCTCTCTAGTCCCCATTAAGCATTTCTTTTCAAGGATTTACTTATTTTATGCATATGGGTGTTTTCCCTGCACGTATGTCTGTACATCACACAAGTGCCTGGCACCTACAGAGACCAGAAGGTGGCATCGGATCCCCTGGAACTGGACGTACTTGGAACTGAACCTGTGTCCTCTACAAGAGCAGTAGTAGGTCTCTTAACCACTGAGTCATCTCTCCAGTCCCCTACGCATTTTGATCTTAAAGGAAGAAACTAAAACAAGACAGAGCTTTAACTTTAAGAACTTTAAAGGAAACAAAACTAAACACCAAAACACTTTTCCTACCTCAAAGTGGTGAGATTTAGCCACTTTGCCTTCCAATGGTCCTTTTCCCCTTCAACTGACCAACTTAAACCTTAAAGGGCAGAGCTTTCAAAGCTGAGCCCACCCCGCTGGAAGAGAATGAAGCTCTGTATTTATGTTCTTGCTTTCTGCGGTGAAAAGAGCTAATGACTTCCCACAAAAGTATAATTCACAGGAGAAACCACTTCATTTATTACCACTTAACTGAATACATTCTCTAGTCTGAAAGCAATGCTATCTACCATGCTTGGCCTTTCTATTTAATCTGAATGGCTTATTCAACAGCAATTCTGAGTAAATTAGCAAAGAGAATGTAGTATTCTTTAGCTAGGTAAACAATGGCCTGGATTAGCTGGAGGAGAGGGTGATGTTGAAGAGGTACACTTCAGGACTGACAAGCAGTTGCTTCTCTGGTTTTACTTTCTTTCTTATTGTTCTTCTTCCCCCTCTCCTCCTCCTCCTCCTCCTCCTCCTCCTCCTCCTCCTCCTCCTCCTCCTCCTCCTCTTCCTCTTTCTGCTGCTTCTTCTGCTGCTGCTATGTGAACCAGGCTGGCCTCAAACTCATAGAGATCCTCCTGCCTCTGCCTCCCTAGTGCTGGGATTAAAGGTATGCGCCACCTCCTGTTTATTTTGTTTCTTGAGACAGGAGGGTCTTGCTATCCATCCCAGGTAGTTCTGGGACTCACTATGTAGACTGACATGGTTTCAAATTCATGATGCTCCTGCCTCAACATCCTGAGTGCTAGAATTATGGGTGCGTGTCACCACACCTGGCTTCTTAGCCTCTTTATATGAAGAAACAGGCTTATCAATGACATCATCACCATCATCAAATCCAGTTAAAGGGTGTAGCTTACTTTCTTTGGTGGTCCTGGGGATCAAGCCCAGGGCCTTACTCACAGGCAAGGAAGCATTCCACCCTAAACCCTTGGGGGATGTTACTTAAAATTCTTCTGGAAGGAATGGCCCACTGTTCCCACCCTGAAGTATTTCTGTCAGATCTTTCCTGAATCCATCTACTCTTTTAACCAAAATGCACCACCGTAGCAAAGTGTCTATTCTTAACACAGGTAAGCAGAGCTGTGACTCAGGTTGAGACAGTTATGGCTGATGCAGCTTTTTCACATCAGCTTACCAAAGCAACACAACATCTTCTTAGCTCCTGCTCATTGCTTTTGTTTAAACAATGAGCAACATGGGAGTTTTGGTAATTGTGAGCTATTTTAGATCTCCAGTGGCCATTTATGTAATTAATTGTGTATGTGTGATTTTTTTTTTCTCCAAGACAGGGTTTCTCTGTGTAGCCCTGGCTGTCCTGAACTCACTTTGTAGACCAGGCTGGCATCGAACTCAGAGATCCACCTGCCTCTGCCTCCTGAGTGCTGGGATTAAAGGTGTGTGCCACCACTGCCTGGTGTGTGTGTGTGTGTGTGTGTGTGTGTGTGTGTGTGTGAGATTTATATTGTTCTTGATTTACATCTGCAGGAAAAGGAATGGCTATTCCATCAACAGTATTAGGCTGGATGGCTACTGACTTGGAAAAAGTGAAGTCAGAGATCTACCTTAAATATAACATGAACATGAATCTCCAAATAGACCAAATATATTCAAGAGAGAGCGTTGAGAAGATAATTTGAGCCTCCAGTTAATTTCCTTTTTCAAGCCTTCAGTGATGAACAATGAGACTGATCAGGAGGAACAGGCTAGACAGGGTTGGCCACAAGGGAGCAGTACAGCCCAGATGCTGCCACCAGGGTGCATAGATGGTAAGTCAATCTAAGAGAGTTCAAAGGTCTTTCTACATCATGGCTAAGGAAATGATATTAAACAATAAGAATAGCTAATACCATTGCTCATTTATGGTGCTCCAATCACTGTAATAAATACCTTGTATGCATTAACATTGGCTCACTTGTTAAATGTCTGAGATACAATTCACACAAAATAAAATTTATCCATTTAGAATGTATGTGATTTTAGAACATTCATAGAATTGTGCAACTATCATTGAAGTCTATGTTTAGAGCATTTTTATAATCTCCCTTCCCCACAGAACCTATGTGTGGGCTAAAGTTATGGTTTAAGTTTTAATTACTGTGCTTAAGAGATTTCCAAAACAAAAAATGCCTCTAACCTGTAAGCTTCACTTACCCTAGGACAGACAATTTCCTGGACTGCAGGGGGCTGTTGTTTATGTAAGATATGAAGAAGCCACATGTGTTGGCTTCTGTAAACAAGCTTGGTAGTGAGAGGTACGCAGACAGGAAGTACGTCAGGATGGATGCCTATCCCCGATTGGGCGAAGGCAGGAAGTATGTAGCCTTGTGGCTTTTGACTTTATAAACCTCTGACTAATGGAATTCATGGCCATTCTCTGGGAATCCTGGGTGGATCTGGCCAGTATTTAATAAAGCTTGCTTCAAATTTGGCTTAAAAGTTGTGGTAGTGGTCTTCTCCTTCTCACCTGGTGGGATTAACACCTACCCTCTGGCAGTTACTCCTCCACCCTCCCCTCAGCCCTAGGCAAATGCTAACCTACTTCCTGTCCTTATGGCTGTACCTTTTCTGGGTTTCTATACAATATGTCAATTCCAAAAACAACTCTGTTGGGCATTACCACACTTACTTCACTTATAAAAAACCAAAACAACAACAACAACAACAACAACAAAAATCATTAGCACACTCTGTGACCCCCGAGTAGAGAAGGGAACGGAAGCCACGCACATTACCAGGTTAGGGGAAAGTATAACCCATTTTGGGACCTCCTTCTTCCCCACTGAAGGTGGTGCTGGGTCGGGCACCTGCACATGGAAGTTAAGTGCTGGGACAAGGGGCCACCCACACTTTATTATCTAAGAACCGTAACAATCCCTACGAACCCAAAAGCCTAAAGAATGGTTCATTTCATTTCACCAACAGAGATAAGACAGTGAACGGCCCCGGAGGACAGAGACTAACGGGCGATGCTCAAAGTGGGGAACTTTGGACTGCTACAACTTTGGATTTCTAAGTTTGAAAAATAGATGTAAAAGGATAGATTTCTGGCAGCCTGACTCCTGCCATCACCAACGGCATACTCGGAGAGAGAAAGGGCGGCTGTGACAGATGGATGATGCTGGACCCAAACAGAGAAAACTGGGTAAGAGGATTTTTTCCTGTGTGAACTAGTTAGATTTTTCACATGCCAGCTGCACTAGCTGAAGACATTTCTTCTCCTTAAAATGAGACATTTTAGTTTCTTAGGGAAACTTGAAAAGATAATAAACTGCCTTCCAAGAAGAAGGAAGTAGCCTAGATTAGGAAGTCTAGGGTGAATAACGAACTAAGTTCTTTACCTGCGTTGAATGACTGGTATATTTTTCTTATATGTTACCTTGAACAACCAACAGTGAACACTGAACTGGTCAGTTAAACTCTTCTAAAACTACAGCCAGAGCTGGGGTGGGGGGGGACTGGGGGGTAGCTCAGAAGCAAGACAGCTGCCTGGCCTCTCCCAGACCCAGCTCAGTCGCCTGCAGTGCTAAACAAACCCTCTCCAGGAATCTCCACATCTTATATCAGTCTCCACAAATCTGTTGTTAGTCCTAAATCATGACATGAGATGCTGGATTACATTTCACTATTTAATGAATTTATTAAATCAGAGACACAAGGTTTACATTAAGCTCCCCGTCTCCAGTCTCTTGTCATTAAGGCTGGCCTTGACCTCTGCTGTTCATCCAAGGATGATCGTGGACTTCGGATCCCCTTTGCCTCCGCCTCCTATGAGCTAGAGTGCCAGGGGGAGCACCCACCACACCCTGTTAGACTAAGCTTGCATTTTAAAGGACTCTTTGTTGTCAGATTAAGCATTTACAGGGTTCCTTTCAAAATAATTGACTCATTCTGCTAGAGAACCAACCTCGGGTTTGGTAAACAGGCTCATGTTATCTAACAGAGTAAATCACTTTCTCAGTCGAAAATCCGAGAGAGCGAGTGTCCTAGCTCCCACAAGCCACCACAACACGAAGAGGGCAGGCAGAAGATGCGGTAGTCTGTGCCAACGTGATTAGAGTCATTTACTCCCAAACTGGAGCCAACTGCTACTGTTTTTTCCACCCTGGTTAAAACAATGCTGCTAATAAAAGAACCCTGGGGAGGGAAGGCCATAATTAATAGCTCTGTGACGGTGCCGCCACGTGTGTGACATGAAGGCTGTACAACGGCCACACCTCACGTACGTTAGGTCTGCTTCTCGGCCGCTCCTCCAGGGGAGTGATGATTCTCATCTGGGACGGGTGAACTCTGCCAGTGCCTTCTCCCCGTTGGCATTCCAAGTAATTATTTTCTGCCTGCTTCAGGATCACAAGGACGTCCCCGCGCTGTAAGACACAACACCACTCTCTGAAGCAATTATTATTTAATAAAACATTATTGCTTTTCCACATTTTAATCTTTGGAGCCTAAAGCATTTAATAACGTGTAATAGCAGGAACAGAGGGCAGGGATTTTTAAAATTTTTTTTTTTAAAAGAATCAACCAGTAAAGAAAGAGCTTGACTTTACCTTACAAGAGAGTTCCGTGGGGCTTTGGGAGACAATGTCTTCATTGGCAATTCCGTGAGGCACAGACAGCTTAAATGTAAACCGTAAGAGAATTATTCGAAATCCCAAACCTTCACCTGCTGCTGATCACTTAGGACTCGGCATGTGTGCCTCTTCAAAGGGTGAGCAGGCTTCACGCCCTGGATCCAGTGGGGCCAGCATTTCTCCTGGATACTAAAGTTCTGAGGAGGTGGAGTTGAGCCCACAGGATCACAAGGGGTGAATGTGGCCTCAAGTTCTCTCGGGAACTCTCCATTTGCCTTGTCGTCTCCCTGGTAGCCGGTCAGTCTGCTTGAAGCCCAGCCACTTCCTATTCCCTCAGCAGTCTGGTCTTACAATGGTTTCTATACATGGGCCCCAGGGCCAAAGGGCTGTTTCTGCCCTGGTAAATTCTAGCTAATGAGTACGTGACAGTACTGTATAATACACACTTAAAACACAGAGAAGGAGGTGGCTTGGGTCCCTGGATCACCCAAGAGCAAACATACAGAGTACAAGGAGATGGCCATGTAAGGCTGGGCTGAGTAATGTCATTTCCCTCACATCTCCACAGCACCCAGGGCTCCCAAGGCACATAGATTTCCAATTGTAATTTAATGGTAGTGTAGCCATAGGGGGTGGGGGTTGGGAAATGGATTTAAGGATGTATTTTATAATGAGATACATCACTTAAATAGACCATCATTTTGATGCATTGATTTCTTTGAATTCTGTAAATGTTTTGACATTATGCAGCTATATAAAGAGCCCCAAGTGAAACCTGGTTCCCCTTGAGTAAACATCCTTGGCATAGAGTGACCAAAGCAAATAGAGGTCTTACCACTAGTTAACACCGACTCGATGCCAATTGTTTCGTGTTCAAATCCTGGTTTTACTGCTAGCTGGCTTAAATCTCTAACGTGGTCTCATTTTCCTTATTTGTAGAATGGGGATAATAACAGTATCTAATCTACAAGGTTAGTTTTAGTGCCTAGCTGACAATTAGTTCTCAATACATACCAATTACTATTCTACTTTATTTATTAAGTAGTTTATCCCAAAGACTATCCCTTAGGTTTGGGGAGTTAAAGTTCCATTAGTTTATACTTCATCTTAGCTGAGAGAGAGGCGGGGTGGGGGTGGGGGACAACGACAATGGGTTTCATCAATTTAAATGACTGTGAATATATTATCTTTTTATCTGTTTATTCTCGTCTCAAAATCTGAATTAGCTTAAAGTAAAAAACCCTTTCTGGCTTGATAGAAGTTTAGAACAGGATAAAATGACTAGCTACTGCTAAAAGCAGCACTGCCATACTATTATTTTAAAAATGCAAACAATCCTCCCCCCACTTATAAGCTAATTTACTTATTTTTCTGGTTGACCTGACCATAGAAAGCAAATCAACTCTGTTTTTCATTTGTGGGAAACGCAGGCAAAAGTCATCTGATGAAAAAAAAAAAAATCCAAAGAGAACAAAATTAATACTCAACTATCTCAATTACTGATAAGAACTTTTTTTTTTTTTTTTTTTTTTTAAAGATTTATTTATTATGTATACAGTGTTCTGCCTGCACGTACCCTGCACGCCAGAAGAGGGCACCAGATCTCATTACAGATGGTTGTGAGCCACCATGTGGTTGCTAGGAATTGAACTCAGGACCTTTGGAAGAACAAGCAGTGCTCTTAACCTCTGAGCCATCTCTCCAGCCCAAGAACTTTTAACTAGTAGCTACTAAATGGGCCATGATAATTATGCTTACAAAATGGGGGAAAAAAACTGCAAGAAAGTCCATTGATCTTAATAAAAACTTAACTTCTACTTCATTCAAATGCTACTCATTTAGTGGGCAAAGCAGCTGTAAAGTACCAACTATAGCAGGAGATGAACCCTAGTATCTGCCACCCACTCCCATGGCAGATCCCCACCGTGCCAATGACTTACACCCCCATCTGCCTGCCTTCCCTTTCTGGGTGTTCCCCCTAATACTGACACCCGGTCTTGAAAACCCAGGGTTTTGCTGTTGTTGTTGTTATTGCTGTTTTTTTAAAGAACTATTTGTTCTATGTGTATGAGTATTTTGCGCGCATGCATGTCTGTGTATCATGTGTGTCCTGGAACTTGAGTTACGGATGGCTGTGACTTGCTATGTAGGTGCTGGGAATCGAACTGGGATCTTCTGCAAGAACAAGTGCCCTAAGCCTCGGAGCCATCTCCCCAGCCCCTGAAAACTGAGGTTTTGTGGCAGTCTAAAGCTTGCTGTGTCAAGGGCCAACCCCACACTTGCTTTTACTGATTTTCCTAAGGATTACAGGTCTTACTTATCCTAGGACACCCCCTACCCCCCTTTTGTTTTTGTTTTTGTTTTTCTAGACAGAGTTGCTCTGTGTAGCCCTGGCTGTCCTAGAACTCGCTCTGTAGACCAGAGATCTACACCTCTGTAGATCAACTACCTCTGCCTCCTGAGTGCTACGACTAAAGGTGTGCAGTACTACCCCTCAAGCACCAACATTTTTAAATTCCAGGCTTACCATGTATTTCCTGTAGAGAGGGTGTCCTGGTTTGGGACGAGGGGGTAGCACCGGATCTTGGTTTTTAAAGACCTGACTCTTGGCTTTTGAGAGTCCAGGGGCCAAGGGACTTTGCTTTTTCTGAAGATCCATGTCGGAAGAAGACCGATTAAAAAGCAAATTTTTACTTGATGATTTGGTTGCAGAAAGTTTAGGGGGAGGTGGTCTCTCAGGGGCACCTTTGGGAGGAGGCTTCCAAACTGGAATGACTTTTCCATGTACAGGTCTAAAAGGCAAGGGGGAGCCAGGAGTCAGCATCTTGATCTCATGGAGGTTCTGTCTACTCTTCTTTACACACACACACACACACACACACACACACACACACACACACACACACACACACACAGCCTGGCACAGAGGTGAAGAGCTTGAGCTTTTTGGCTAGTGGGATACAATTTACTGAAAGCTGCAGGGTATGCTATTTTTGAGCAAATGACTCTTGCATTAAACATTATATTAGAGGAAATGCCACGATGTTCCAGCTTCCTTTTAGCTTGCACTAGAGATTCATTAGCTCAAGACAAACAAGCGTTTACTGTCATGAGTTCTCTAAGGCCCCAACTGCTCCTAAACACACCGACTATTTCAGGAAGCTAAGTACTTTCTACCACAGTCTGAGACAAAAGCTTATGCATATGATGATATCAGGTATATGTGCTTGGGTCCTCTGCATAATTAGAAAAGGAACATCAAAACCCCCTAATGCTCACATTATAGGCGTTACTATTAAAACTCTTAATTTAGATTAGCATAAAGGAAGCTCTGAAAATGGAACAGGACAGCAACTACTTCGAAAACCTTCTTCCTAATCTCTAAATGGAAATAAATTTCAACACGGCAATGCCTTCTGAAAGCGCAACAGCCTTTGTCTCGAATACCTCTAGAGCTGGGGGACAGGCCACCTCTGAGTTCCCTTCAGTGGGGCTGAGAAACGCGCCTGCCCCTCCTAACAGGAGGCTGTTTGTGAGCAGACTCCAGCAGAGGAAAGTTGTCTTGTTTATTTGGAAACAGTATCAGACTCATGCTTGTGCTCTGTAGGGTTTTGGACCTTGTTGAAAGAAGAGAAGATGAGAGAGCCCCACAACCTGCTGTCACAAGCAGACTGAGGGCTGGTGGCCTGGGCAGACTCCTGAGTTTCTCTCCAAGGCAAGACCGAAGGCTCACAGGCCTGCCTCTGGACGACAGAGAGCAAGAGCCAGCTCTCCAAGGCATGCGATTCCCTCCAACTTTCCCATATTTTACCTACCTTGGTGGTAATCTGGGGGGTCCTTGTCCCAAGCCTCCTGATTCACTAGCTTGCTCCGGTTCCTATAAATGTCACAGAAAGCTTTTTTAGTTAAGACTAACCTAAAACAAGAGTTTGCAAGAGGCACTGGGGTCCATTTTTTTGGTGAGTCTCTAAGTAGAAAAGCTGAGAAATTATGGAAAATAGCTGAGAAGTACTCAGTATTATACACATACATACATACATACATACATACATATATACATACACATGTTATTTTTATTTATTTTTGAGACAGGGTCTCACTACGTAGCCCTTGCTGGCTTGGAACTACGTAGACCAGGCTGGCCTCGAACTCACAGAGATCCACCCTGTCTCTTGTCTCTAGAATGCTGGGATTAAAGGTGTGCACTACCATGCTAAGCCCATGAAGCAATATTTTAAAAAAGACTTTTTTATGTGTCTGCCTGTTTTGCCTACACGTATGTCTGTGCACCACACGTGTGCCTGGGTCCCTTAGGGGACAGAAGAGGGGGTCGGTGCCCTAGATGGTGGTTTTCTCCTTTCCTGCTAGAGTTTGCTTCAATTTTAATACAAGGCATTTATTCATCTCAATTATGGCAGAAAACAAATGGTCCTGACTTTAACCCGTAGAGAGTGAAGGGGGTGGTTGTTTTGCTTTGGACAGTTAAACCGTCTCTCCTTGCCAGATAGCTTCAAAACAAGCTGCGGGTTTTGAACTAAAGAAGTTGAGGACATTAATTAAAAAAAAAAAAGAAAAAGAAACTTAAGGCATGGCCTGAAAGGAAGACATTCGAGAAGACAGAAGGGCAGGGGAGAAGGGGGTTTTACCAGACAGCAGATGGGTTGCATGGGCTGACAAGGGCTTTGTGGGGGAGAGTTAAAGGAGGACTGGAAAAACCAAGACAGCCCTAGCTGGGCTCTGCAGCCTAGGGATAGACGAGAGGATTCAGAAGTGGGGGAACAGATAGAGAGGGGCTCGGCTGTTCTGCTTCAATTTTCAGAAAAAAACACTTTTGCATTTTTTAAGCATTTGTTTTTATGTTATGTGTATGGGTGCTTTGCCTGCATGTATGTCTGTGCATCACGTGTGTGCCTGGTACCCACAGAGGCCAGCAGAGGGCATTAGACAGTTGTGAGGCGCCATGTGGGTGCTGGGAATCGAACCCAGGTCTTCTGGAAAAGCAGCGGTGCTCTTAACTACTGAGCCCTCTCTCCAGCCCCCAGAACATGTTTTTGAGGATTGGGAAATCATTCTTCTGTTGAATGAGAAACAAAAAGATCTTGAAGCCCACACAGGGCTTTATCTTTTGGAAAAGTCCTTACTAAATTGTTCTTAAAATTGAAAGAATTCACTACCAAGACCAACTTTCTCTTTTCTACTTTTTAAGATCCCCAATACCCACCCATGAAATACTGCCTCTCAGACTTTCAGGGGGACGTTTCTAGCCCTTTAAAATTACATTGCATTAAGAATTATTTAGTTATTGCTTAGGAATCTTTGGGCAAATCTAAACTGTTTCCTTCATGTAACAAATGAGTGAAAACTCCTTTCCACGATGGTTAAGCTCATGCTATTTGTAACATTCCCTTAAATACCAAGTGATTAATCGCCAATAACTATGATAATTTAAACATGCTTCGATGTTTCAAAAGCTCATTTTTTAAAAAACAAATTAAGCTTGCCCTTAAAACTTGGTTTCACTAATGAGTTCAGTTAATGTAGTGAAGCGAGCCTCCAGCTCATAAACCCTGCAATATTCCAGAATATAACCCACACCTTATAAATACGCCGCTGCCTGTAATTCTTCCTGACAATATCACTATGATAAAATCGTGTCTTTCCTTGGTCACCTTTAAAATTAAAGCAAACAAACTTTAGCAGGGAAGGAGAATTTTTTTTTTGGTTGATTTTTCTCAAAATTAGTGGTGGGAGATGCCTTAATAATGAAAGGAAACTGAAGCAAAAAATACTAACATGTAACTTGGATATGGAAAGGTATCTATCAAATGGCGTATACCAAATATTAGCTGCAGTCTCGTGGGCTGAGGATTTCTGGATTCTCTCATTTGTTTTCAGCAAGGCTTGACCCCAACTGGGCTGCATCCCAACCCAGTGATGGTATGTTTGCGGAAAATGTCAAGTATCTTTTAGATCTCGCACTTTTGACAGACTTTAAGCTGGAACAAGAAAGACACATCCCGGAAGGCATGGACACCCTCCCTCCGACACGGAGAAGAGGTGGCCTCTACTGCTGCAGCAGTGTTTGCTTAGCCTGGGTTGGTGCCCAGGTTCTGCCAACAGTCCTACTGATTGGAGACGCCCCCCTCTCCGGCATTCTGCACATGCCGTGAAGCCTGTTTGTATCGTTTTAGGTCTTTCTAGCTCTGAGATCCTGGAACTCTGGCGTCTGACAGGCTGGCTGAGGTCCTGGCAGAGGCCGTTTCCTGCTTGTAGCATCTCTATAGACGCCATCTTTTCATAGTCAAATCATACTCTAATTTTAGAAAAATTCTGTTTTTTTTTCCTCTCTTTTCCTTTTTGAGATGGGATCTTGCTGTACAGCTTGGATGGGAACAGAACTCATAATTCTCCTGTCTTAGCCTCTCCAAGTGCTAGGGTAACAGGTTAGTGTCATCATACCCAGGGATTCCCAGGTTTCTGTGGCATTTAAAAAAGGTAGGTATTTCTCTCTCAAGACCACAGGTGTATCATCACATTTGTGCTGGGATTGTGGAAGAACTGGCCTAGGTATGTTTTGCAGGAGCTGACACCACTTCTTAGAGCAGAGTTTAGAATCAGCTTGCCTCAGGCACATACACTTCTGTGCTATGTGCTTAGATTCTGACATGAATCACGCAGGTTTCCTGACTTTGCTGTAGAGTTGGGATCTTCTTTAGGGATGCTTTGGGACAGGCGAGAACACACACAGCTCCAGTGGCTCCCGACGGGACCCTAGGGTCCATCATTTAAGTGATGGAAGTGGTCTGGCAACTGCAGCCACCAGTTCGGATGCAAAGTCCCCTAGCGCTCTGTAAGTTAGGAGCAATAGCAGATGAGTTTTGTCCAGGGGCCAGCTTTTGTAAAAAGGGACAGTTAGTAAAGACTGTCTACCCTCTTGGTCTGTGACACTGGCGCTTTTTTGTTTTGTTCTTGAGACAGGGTTTCTCTGTGTAGCCCTGGCTGTCCTGGAACTCCCTCTCTAGACCAGGCTGGCCTCGAACTCAGAGATCCTCTGACCTGTTTCCTGAGTGCTGGGATTAAAGGTGTGTGCCACCACAGCCCGGTGACACTGTCACTTTCTAGAGGTCTTCCCCTTTACCCCTAGTCCTTACGACCTCTGGTCTAAATAAACTCAGTAATTACAATTCTCAAAACAAAATTTTCAGGCATGTGATTGACCTTAGTCTCCAGAAATCGACACTTGGTCTGCACGGATGGGCATGGGCTGGCTGTGACTCCCTCTGGGATGGATGCAGGGAAGGATTTCCACCATGTTCATGTGAGGCAGAGATGTAGTGTGAACACAGGAGCTCTCTGGGTGGTGTTAGTTTATCCTAACTTGTTTACTTGTAAATGTAGATGTTGCCCTTGGACTGCGGGACACTACAGGTGCTAGTCTTAGTGTTCCCACAGCTCTGTTGTTCACAGAGCCCTTCACACTGGAGAATGTGCACCTTTCAGGAGAATGGAAGTCTGAGGTCTTTGTGAGCAACTGTCTTCCATAGGAGTTTGGGGTTACAGTATGTCAGGGGCCCTACTATCTGCTGTTGGGTATTCTTGGCCCAGCATTAATAAAAATTTATTATCAAGTACTTTGAAGATACAAGTGATCACTAAATTTTAATTCATTCTACAGGAAATCTCATTAACTTGGTATTGGCTAATTTAATTTAATGTCTTTTTCAAAGAAATTTCTCTTCACTAGAAGATTGGATGGGTTGCTTGTGTGATGAGCACAGTTAATGCACAGGGTAGAACTATTATAAAAACTGAACTAAATTGGTTTCAAGACTTTAAGAATTGATTTCTCTTGAAACAAGCCATAAAGATTGCCCATCAGGAAGAAATTTTTTAAAATGCACGAGGGAAGAATATTGAGGTTGAAATTTAAAATACATATATAAAAGGTCCTAGGTATGTTAACAAATACATAGCAAAACATTGTATTTTAATTAAAAACAATCTTAAATTTCAGAATAAAAATTATTAGGGTAGTTAAATTATTATCATTATTATTATTTTTAATAAAAACAGATTTGAGTGTTTTAAACAAAAACTAACAATTTGACTAAATATTTCTACAAATATTAAAGTTTTTTGGAAGTTTTAATAACTTCTTCATTATTATTATAGTATCATATAAAAGACAGTGTCATTGTATCGGCACAGAAGAAATTACTTTATAATGAAGTACAATGAATGAACCCAATCCTTCTATATGGACTTGTAAAATATTGAATATAACATTAAGTAAGTACATGAGGTTTAGCAATTGGGTTCTAATAAAATATTTCTAAAAATATAACCAACGGTAAAATAATTTAAACAGGGGCTGGAGAGATGGCTCAGAGGTTAAGAGCACCGACTGCTCTTCGAGAGGTCCAGAGGTCCTGAGTTCAATTCCCAGCACCCACATGGTGGCTCACAGCCATCTGTAATGAGATCTGGCAACCCTCTTCTGTATACATAATAAATAAATAAATAAATAAATAAATAAATAAAAAAAAAAAGAAAAAAAATAATTTAAACAGCAACTGAAGATTTAGAATGGGTTCAGAACTCGGCCTTTAAGCCTAACAAGCTCTCAGGACCACTTACTGGGTTTCTAGTTCTGTCTGAGTTACCGAACTTTCCAGACACTGTACTGTAAGTATTTCCAACAGGCTTTTCGGCAGGAAGAGGAGGTGGGCTTTGCGGATCCTCGTGTAAACCTGGGGAAAAGACAGAAGACAGAAGTCACCAGCAATGGCTAGTCCAGGAACCCATCGATGACCCAAACGTAGCTGGGCTCCTTTGGAAAATGGCCGGCAGGAGAGAACCACACCCAGCACTAGACAGTGAGCCATCTGCAGACTTCAGAAAATCGATGGATGAGCTAAACATATTACATGTTACAACAGAGGGAAAGCACTGCTAAGAATGATGTGTCAGGCATTCACTCAGGCATTCCAATCCTCACCCCTGTATTCGATTTGTCTGGTCAACAAGTAGTAGCTGGTAACTACATGTGGCCATTTAGATTTAAATCTTACTTAAAGTGAAACCAAGTTAAAGTTTTTGTTCTTTAGTTGTGCTAGGCACATTTCCAGCACCCAGCACCCACTGGGGCATAGAGGCTACCATGGTGGCTGGCACAGATACAGCATTAGCAGAGGGCATCATACCAGACAATATGCTACCTATTTTACTGAAGCTGAAATTAAGAAAACTGTAAGTGAGCTATTTAATTTATTAATGTCAGTAATTGTCAGGTTTGTTCATTTGAACCCAAAGCCTGTGCTCATTCTAGTAAGACATGGTCCTTAATAGGTGGAGTACCCAACCTTCCCCCATCCACAAATAATTAAATGCTTCTGATAATTCAGGTTAATGACCATAATTAGCCTCAATTACAGAAACAATACCTTTAAATCCAAACCATACATTTAGCTCAGTAATACTTATTCCCAACTTACTTTAAAGAGAGAAAATAGAGATGATTAGATTTAATTATTGCCTGATAATTAAAATATGTGTGGAGGAATACCTCATGAGGGGATGGTTGAAACACAGTGCAGGAGGCTAAAGCCATCTTTACACTGTCTGGCGTAGCCACTAAAAGTATATGGGGATTCTTATTTGTTCAGATTTCCAGCTCCAATGAAAAACCGCTACCAAGAGGATGTCAGGTTCCTGTTTTATCCACAGACAGGAAAACATTTTCAAAAGGAAAACAATGATTTAAGATGGGCAAGTATTTGTAGTGAGAGTCTGTGCTGCTCTGGGAATCAAAACACACAGGATCATCCACATCAGTCACCTTCTGCAGGCCTCCCTTTGTGGCAGATCCTCATCCTCACAAGAAATGAACCACGTTATTTAAGAGTTTACTGTAGCCCTAAGCAAGTGAGCTGGACGCTTCCTTGCAGGAAGGGCACTGGGAGAATCTGGCATGGGAGTGATGGGCTTCAGAGATACAGTTCCAATTTGAATCCACCAGTAAAGGTATCTGGCAAAGGCCTGAAGGAACGTGTATACCCTGCGGAGGATATCTTAGGAGAAACAGGTTCCAGGGGAAGGAGATGACAGGGTCCAAGACTATAAAGAGCCTTGCACCACAAAGCTGTTCATTTCTTCCCATTCCAAATTCTTTAGACACCAGAAATCACGGTCTTTCCTCTGTACTGTATACATACATTGGTTAAAATTGTACCAAAAGGGGCTGGAGATTGGCTCAGTGATCTTCCAGAGGACCCACGTCTGACTGATTCCCAGCACCCACATGGCAGCTCACAGTCATCCCTCACTCCAGTTCCAGGGGACCTGACATCTTGTTCTGATCTCCTCAAGCACTGTATGCACATGGTACACAGACACACACGCTGGCAAAACACCCACTAAAAAACACACTAACAATTTAAAGAAATGTACTAATAGAATTCCAGGGCATTGATTTGTGCTGGAACTAACTCGTTGGAAGCTATTTTGGCAAGTCAATTCTTGTACACCCAGCAGGGCAGATTCACCTTCTTAACAGTTCCTGGGGGCATTGTTTGGGAAATAATTTAAGATGGTTTCTTAGCTTATCCTTTCATGAGAGTTATTAACCCAATTTAAGAGAATAAACAGTAGGCCTGCCACTGCTCACCCTTAGGAATGCCTGCTCATGAGCTCTGCTGTTAGCTGGCACTCAGAGCTTGGACTGTAAGATGGGACCAACCACCTCCCCCCCCCCCCCCCCCCAAGACAGGGTTTCTTTGTATAACAGCCCTGGCTGTCCTGGAACTCACTCTGTAGACCAGGCTGGCCTCAAACTCACAGAGATCTGCCTGCCTCTGCCTCCTGAGTACAGGGCTTCAAGTGGGACCATCCTTAGAATTAAGAAATCACAAGAATCTGGCTCACATTCGGCACTTTCTTTCCTTCCAGACATCTGGAATTTTAGAATCTGTCAGTTTCTAACAGTGGCTATGTAACCAGCCTCAGTCACAGGAGTGGACAGAGCATCAGCATGGCAGGAAGCTTCCCTACTTAACAACATTCTGTGTGTTGTCTTAACTCATTGTAGGGTAACTGGAGGATGCCCGTGTGGTGTGACTTCACCAGAAGATTCCTGGAAGCTTATGCCGGTTTCTGTCACATCGTACCCCGTTTGCCTTTCCTCTGGGTGGATTCGGTCTCATTTACTTCTGCAGTAATAAATCATAACCATGAATACTGCGTTCTGTGAGGAGTCCTAATGATTCACCTGACTTGGAGGTGGTCTTGGGGGCACGGGCATTAGAGAGCGGAGCTCAGTGTAAACCATGAGAGAAGGCTGGAGTCCATCCTTAGAAAGTCAAAGAAAGGTCAACCTAGAACCCACATGAGGTCCCTATAATATTCATGACCTTTATATTTTACTATTGCCTGTTAAATCAGAATACAATTATAAGGTGATAGCAAAGAGGCAAATAACCCAATGAGCTATAATTTTACTCCTTTCTGACGATATCACACCGTCAAAAGCGATTATACCACCCTTTCCTTAATTAACACTACGATATAACCTTCAAAGGAGCAAGACCTGCTGGAATTTCAGAGCCTTGACTTTCTCCTCATTTTCCACGGCAACTCAGTTCAACCGTCTTGCTACCGGCTGAGTGCTATCGGTTAATAACAAAACCACCAAGAGATCAAAACCAACGTGACGCTTCTCCGTAGTATTTTAGAGAAAAGCCAGTCCCCTAACTTCAAGTGTATGCTCCTGCACACTCTCGGGGCGCTGCAGCCTTGGACACATCGTACCCCACATGCCTGTGTTAGGAGGAATCAGTACTTCCCGTCAGACAAAGGCAATGGCGCCTAGGGGCCATGCAGAAGCGCTGCAGGCAGGGGGGAAACCAGAGGCTCCTGGAAAGCTGAGTGAGGATTTCGAGCAATGCTGGGGACTGCTCTAGAACCTACAGCTCTAGAACCTGCAGCTCTAGAACCCACAGATTTTTTTTTCTTTCTTTTTTTCTTAGTGTCTCTTATACCTCAGGCCGGCCTCCAACTCACTGTGTAGACAAAGATGACCTTGAACTCCTGATCCTCTTGCCTTCACCTTCTCAGTGCTAGGATTACAGATGTGTACCATCTCTCCCAGTTTTATACACTTCCAGGAACTGAACCCAGGGCTTCCGGCATGCTAAGTAAGCACTCTACCAATAGAATCACATCCTCAACCCTAAACATCAAATTTCTTTTTGAAGTAGATACAAAATTTCACTTACTGCATGACTGAAAAAAAAAATCAACTAAGGAAACACACACACAAAAATCTAGCGTTATACCAATTTAAAAATGATATTTATTTTGCAATGTAGTCCTCCTAAGAAGTACAATTGTTACATGTTCCTAAAGCCTTTGGGTACGGTTCTTTGCACAATTCACGCATCGCCGTATGCAGATTGAGCTGACTGGACAATATACCCACCACAGACATATGTAACCTCATTTGCTTTAGTTTCAACGTTTCCCCGCCCGTCTTTGCCAGAGGCACTGATGATATGAAATACTATGCCTATTCTCAGAAACACGCTCTCCTATGCTCTTTGTCTAAAATCAACCTTCAAATTTACGGTGAGAACTCTCCAAAGAACCGCGAGAGAACACCTTGCTCCGGGATGTCCGTGACTGGGATGTCCATGACCGTGAATAACAAACTGCAGCTTATACATAACTTCAAAAGCAGACATTGATAAGTTCATTCAGATTTCTCCTAGGCTCTTGGAGGAGTAAATTAGGAAGACAGAGAAGAGCTTACATTTTTCTGGTTTGGCTGGGATTCGAATTACTGTAGGCTTCCTGGTGGGTGCTGCTGGAACGGCTTTCTCCTTTGTTGGTTCCGTTTTTGTGGGGAGCTGAAAAGGATCTAATGAAAAACATAGTTTATTTTACATGTTTTAGTTAACACGGACTCAAACAAAAAAGCCTCATTCATAATTTAAGAGTCATATTTTTCATGCCCCAGGGAAAACTATTCATGGATAAACAAAATCTCAGTTTGCAGAGACAAAAACAAAGTTGGAGCTCATAAAAGGAAATAATTTAGTACCCTGTAAATAATTCATATGGCTTTTCTTCCTCTCTGATGAGAGAGATCCAGGACAATCCTGAATTATGTAGAAGCTGGCTTTCAGGGGAGTGCAATCATTTCATAAATGTCGGCCTACAAATGAGGGGCAACTGCGACAAGCAGTCTTTCCACACAGCAACACCTCCCAGGCCCCAGGAGGGCTCTCCTCACATCCCTGTGCAAGGCTGCTGCGATATATGCTCACCAGAGGCCCCATCCTCCTCTGCACATGGCCTGACTAGGAAGGGCCCAGCTGCTTAGATTTAACTTAGTGAGGCTTTACTTCCATAATGTGGAAGTAAAAAGGGCTTTATTCCAGAAATAAAATATCTTCCTTCAAATACTTAACTTTGGGGCAAAGATATATGATTTAGCATTTCTCCATCTTCATTTTATTTTAAGTGAGTCAGATACACCTAAGGTAAGTATTTTAAATCAAAACATAACTATAAACCTTTTTTTTTTAAGTGGAAAGGAATGAACTTTAATGTAAATGCTCTTTTCATTATTTTAGAAATTATGTCTATAAAAATGTTGGTATGTGGGTCTGGAGAGATGGCTCAGTGGTTAAGAGTACTTGCTGCTCTTGCGGAGGACCCAAGTTCGGTTCTCAGCACCCACATTAGGGTTGTAACTCTAGTTCCAGGGGATCCACTGCCTCTTCTGGCCTCCATGGGTACCAGGCACATATGTGGTACATAAATAAACATGGAGGCACCCCCCCCAATATAAATAAATCTTTAAAAAAAGTTTTTAGGTGTATGCATATGTGTGTGTGCTAGTTCACATGCATGTACACACAAGTACAGGCATTGAGGCAGGCTATTGTACTGAACCTGAAGTTTGCTGCCTTTCAGCTAGGCTGACTGGCCAGCAAGCTCCAGTGGTCTGCTTATCTTTGTGCTGGGGTTGCAGATGCACACGCCCACATTTGGACTTTGTGTGGGTGCTGGGGATCCACACTCAGGCCTCATGTTTGTGCAGAAGGCACTCACACCCACTCACACACTCCATCTCCCCAGCTCCTATACAAATTGTTTTGGAAGACAGGAAACCCAAGGCTTGGGAGGTAGGTCGGGTGGGAAAAGGTGCAAACATGAGGCCCTGCTGCAGTCCCCAGAATCCCTGTAACAAACTTGGTGTACTGAGGGAGCAGACATGAGGATCCCTGGGTCTGGCTTGCAAGCCAGTACAGCAGGAAAGGGGGCGTCAGGTTCAGTGAGACCCTGTGTAAGAAAAGGGAGAGAGCAACAGAGGAAGGCAGTCCATGTCAGCCTCTGGACTCGGCATGCACACGGGTGTGTGTAACACAGACACATACACACACAGAGACATACAACAGACACAGACACATTTAGACACAGACTCACAGATGCATACACACACAACATACACAGACACACACAACACACCAGACACACACACAACACACACAGATACACACAACACACACAGACACACACAACACACACAAACACACAACACACACAGACACACACAACACACACAGACACACACAACACACACAAACACACAACATATACAGATATAGACACACAGACACATAGACACAGACTCACAGACACACAACACACACAGACACACACAATACACACAGATACACACAACACACACAGACACACACAACGCACACAGACACACACACAACACACACAGAGATACACACAACACACACAGACACACACAACACACACAGATACATACACACAACACACAGACACACACAACACACACAGATACATACACACAACACACAGACACACACAACACACACAGATACATACATACAACACACAGACACACACAACACACACAGATACATACACACAACACACAGACACACACACATCATAAAAATAATTTAAAAAAGAAAGATGGGAGACCTGAACATAAACAGAACAGCACAGATAAAATGATATGATCTGCAGCATCTCCCTTTTCTGTTACTTCGTTCCCGCCGCTGCTCTGTGCCACCTCCGCGGCCTGCCGGAACCTAGAACTACTAGCCTTCCCTACCCTCTACAAGCTGCAGAAGCCTGCCTGCCTTGACCTTGCCTTCTAATTATCCTCGGCCCTCACCCAGAACCTCAGCTGTCACATCCTAGTTTTCAGTATCTCTCAGGGCTCTGTTTTCTGCTGGCAAAAGGACCAGAGAGTTTAGAAAAGGATCGAGGCTGGTAAATGCTCTGTGTGATCACCCCTGTCGGAGTTGTTTCTGGCTGACGATGACTGCTGGGTGAGTTTGGGGGGAGAAGAAAATGGTGACAGTGAAATGCTTGAAACTGGGTTCCGGGACAATAAACTGCCTCTACATTTTCACATTCCAGAGTAGGTAGGTGTGTGCACGACACGGGCACAGGGTGTGTGGGTGGACAGAGAAAGGAGGTCAACAGGTACTGTGGAGAGGCTGGCCCAGGAACACTCAAACCCAGCTTGCTGGAGAGGCTAGCCTCAGGAAACCCTGGCCCAAATCCTGCACTCCGTAGAGGACAGATCTCAACAATCCTGTCAAAGGGTCAGCCACATTGTCTTAGGACGAAGGTTGTAAACACAAGAAGCTATGCTACAGTGTGCATGCAAAGAACTCCAAGTGTCCTAGCTTCCCACTCGTTCTTCTTAATTTTCATATCACAAGCTGCTCTTAAAAAAAACAACTTACTGAGTCACGTGTAACTCTTCTGGCAGGCATGCCTTGGTGAAAACCAGTGTACCACCATGGCAGACTGGCAGGAATGGTGTGCTGATGGGCCCGGCTGTGCTTACTGAGTCACAAGGCCATCGGCATGTCGTGCTGGGCTGAGCTCCATGTGACAGACCACAATCAGAGCGGACAAACAGCAGCAAACCAATCAAGGAGAAGAATGGAGGACCAAAGGCCTATCTTTATCTCGATGACGGCGGAACCCAGGGCTCTGTGCACACCAGGCAAGTTCCCTCCAAACGAGGCACACCCCCAATTGCTGAAGCTTACCCCCCCGCAAATGTGGGCAACATGCAAAGCAAGCATGGCATGTCCCTTAGTGTTTGGGGGCTGCAGACACAGCCTGGAAGGCGGCCACATCACTGGCATCTGTTCAAAGATCTACAGTTTGTGCCTTATTTTTAGAAATTTACTCCATAAACAGAACACTGAAAGTAATTGTTTATGGGAGGATACATTATAGGTATTTTTTTTTTAAAGAAATGAAACGAAAGCAAAGCAAAATATCGGAGAAACAACCGATCAACCGGGAAACCCTGAGTTAACTCCAAAATACTTTCATTTTATTATTGAAAAAAAAAATTGATGACAAACATTTTAAAAAGTATACTGTAAGAAAGAGCTTTTTTAAAAAAAAAAATTTTAAGTACTTTTTTTTTCCAGTGGTTTGGAAAATGGCTATAGTTTTAAAGGTGGAGATATTAGGTATAAGGAAACAATAGGTTGGATTAGACTATTATCTCATTGCTTTGTAGCCAAGCATGGTGTTGCATGTGCCTTTAATCCCAGCACTCAGGAGACAAGAGGCAGGTGGATCTCTGAGTTCGAGGCCAGCCTGGTCTACAGAGCGAGATCCAGGACAGCCAGGACTAGACTGAGAAACCTTCTCTCGAAAAAAAGCCAAACAGTAACAACAACAAAAAACCCAAAAGAACCAAAATCTCATTGCACCAATAATACTAATAAACAATAATAAAAAAAACCCATAAAAATAAAATCTGATTTGGGGGCCTCGAGAAACATGGATACATGCATATAACTCATACACACGATAAATAAACAAAACTTAAAAAATCAGACAAACAAAGGTAATGGGATGGACATGGAGGCCCAGTCTGTGATCCCAACAGCTGTGATGTAAAGGCAGGAGGAGGGCGAGCTTGATGCAACCTGAGCTACATAATGATGATCCTGACGGAAAAAAAAAGAAAGAAAGAAAACCAAGAAAAGATGAACCATTTTGTTAAAGGCAGCACTTACACAATTTAAATGGCTCTTAACACAAAATGAAAACCAGGTCTTCCATCCATCTTCTATTACCATCTCCTCAGAGGCCTTCCAGACACATTAAGACTTTTAACACAATCAGTAGCTAAAATACCAGGAACACCATCCTTCATATTTATTGCTTATGTTGAGAGAGGGTCTCATGTATCTTGGGTGGTGATACATCGCGATACATAGATATATCAAATTCATGTACCTGAGGATGACCTTGAGCTTCTGACCCCCCCAGCTCCTTCTCTGAGTGGTTAGAATTACAGGCAAGTGCCACCATGACAGGTTTAAGCAGTGTTGTGGGTTAAACCCAGGGCTTCATGCATCCTAGACATGCACTCTGTATACATCCTTAGTCCCCTGCACCTTGCATTAAAAAAAAAAAAGAATAAAACATATGGAGGTTGGCCTATATTAGGAAATAACAGGTTTGTTTGCTGTCTAGGTTGATGATATTCCATTCATTGTATTGTATCACAGCACAATTCATTCAAGCCGCCCACTGAAACATTCCCAATATTCTTTGTGTATGTATGTAATCTGTGGTGGTTGGAATGAGAACGCCTGCCATAGGCTCGCATACTTGAATATTTGATCCCCAGTTGGTGGAACTGTTTGGGAAGGATTAGGGGTGTGGCGTTGTTGGAGGAAGATGTGTGTCACTGGGGCGTGCTTTGAGGTTTCAAAAAAGCCATTCCCGGTATCTGCCTCCTCTTTGTGGATAAGGATGTAAGCTCTCAGCTGCGGCTCCAGCACCAGGCCTGCCTAACTGCTGTCAGGCTCCCTGCTCATGTTGGTCACAGCACCTAACTCTCTAAAACTGTAAGACCTAAATAAACTCTCTCTGTGGTGATACATTGTGTACCCTAGCCGGGCGGTGGTGGCGCACGCCTTTAATCCCAGCACTCGGGAGGCAGAGCCAGGCGGATCTCTGTGAGTTCGAGGCCAGCCTGGGCTACCAAGTGAGTCCCAGGAAAGGCGCAAAGCTACACAGAGAAACCCTGTCTCGAAAAACAAAAACAAAAACAAAAAAACATTGTGTACCCTAATAAAATATGCCTGAAGATCTGAGAACAGAACAAGCCACTAGATTAAACATAGAAGCCAGGCAGTGGTGGCACACACTTTTAACCCTTGCATTTGGGAGCCAGAGACCCGTCTGGATCTCTGTGAGTTCAAAGCCACCCTGGACTACATGAGATTGACTTGGTCTAGGGGAGAAAACAGAGCCAGGTAGTGGTGGCCCACACCTTTAATCTCAGTACTTGGGAAGCACACATGCCTTTAATGGCTGGGCGGAGAAAGGTATATAAGGCATGAAGAGACAGGAACTAAAGTCTTTCAGCTGAGGAAAGCTTTTTCAGGTTGAGGAGTCTTAGAGGTAAGAGGTGGCTTGTTCCTTTGTCTATCTGATCTTTCAGCTTTCACCCCAATATCTGGCTCCAGGTTTTTTTTTTTTTTTTTAATTAAAAGGCCATTTAGAATTTGTGTTACATCTTTCTTCTATGAGTTGCTTTGGTCATAATGCTTTGTCACAGCAATTGAAAAGTAACTAAGACATGTGTGCATGCATTATCTCCAATGTTATTTACAACAGTGTTTTTTTTTTTTTTTTTGCTTTTTTTTTTTTTGCTTTTTGAGACAAGGTTTCTCTGTGTAGCTTTGGACCCTGTCCTGGAAGATCCACCTGCCTCTGCCTCCCGAGTGCTGGGATTAAAGGCATGTGCCACCACCACCTGGCTTAGAACAAGTTCTTAATCTAGAGCCCAGGAGAGGTCTTGACATGCTGAATGTTGTACCTCAAACTGTTTGTACACGAACTACTGGACATCTTTTGAAAGGAGATAAAAGATTCACAGTCTGCATCAGGTCCTCAGAATCCTGTGGTCTACCAGTGGTTAACAACCTCATAGCGAGAATCCTATCAGTGACTGCTCACACATCACAAGACAAATGTGCCGTCCAAATCTAGGGACGTCAATGGCATTTTTCTGTGTTCTTCCTTTTAGTCCCTCAGATCAACACCAATTATTCTCCACGTGTCGCCGAACAAGCAGGCCCCTGCACACCTATGCACGGTTCTTCATTACTGGGCCGGTAAAAGCCCTGATGATAAAGCAGTCTTCCGGCCATTACCTGTCTGTAATAATATGCTTGTCACTGCAATTAGTTTCCCCATCCCTGGCTCGCTTCTCTGTCATTCCTCTCCCTGGAGTTCTGTTAATAGCAGAGATTGGGCTAAACTATTATTCCGGTCTGTGCAATGGAGCCGACAGTAAAAGCATTCTGCCTTTTTTTTTTTTTTTGACAACTGGGTCTGATTTGTAAGGGTGTGAAGTGGAATCGCTAATACTTCTCAGCTTTATTACATTAACCTGGAAGGCATTCTACCTAAGAAATGAATCCAATATTAAACTGTCTGTTTTATGAGTTTTCCTTTAATAATTTTTTCTAATCTTTACAATGTTTCCATAGTGTCAGTATTTTCTGATCTCTATTTCCTGAGATTAATATGGCAACTTCATTTTATGAACACTTTTATTAGTTTTTCATTATTTTTGAGGGAAGACAAAGAGAAGCAAAGACATATTTCTGAGTCTTCTTCTGCATTCCTCCCCCCAGTTCCTGGCTGATGCCGGGGCCAATTAGGCAAGGGTTCAGAGAGGCCATAAACTTTTATTTATAATGACAATGCCATGGAAGTACCAGGAAAGTCTCACAGAATACCCAGTCAAAAACTAAACAAAAAAATTCATCAGTCCCAGGAGTGGGACGGGGGCTGAGGTGACCCTGAAGGCCTCTGGAGGGTAACAAGGATGGGGAGCCACAAGGCCAGTGTACACTCTGGAAAAATCCCTGGGGCAGCCATAGTTCAGAAGATGATGAAAAGCTAGAGTGAGCCAGTTCAGAAGGAAGCTGCAGTAATCTTGGCACAAAGGCTGAAAGTGGGGCGGCACCCAGGGACGGAAGCAAGGAGGCCGTCCTGAGGATGGGCAGCACCCAGGGACGGAAGCAAGGAGGCCGTCCTGAGGATGGGCAGCACCCAGGGATGGAAGCAAGGAGGCCGTCCTGAGGATGGGGCAGCACCCAGGGATGGAAGCAAGGAGGCCGTCCTGAGGATGGGCAGCACCCAGGAATGGAAGCAAGGAGGCCGTCCTGAGGATGGGCAGCACCCAGGGATGGAAGCAAGGAGGCCGTCCTGAGGATGGGCAGCACCCAGGGACGGAAGCAAGGAGGCCGTCCTGAGGATGGGCAGCACACGGTAAAGCCAGCAGGTGACGGTGACTTTAATAGATGTGAAAGTGAAAGGAATCATTACAGCCAGTCTACAGCAGTGGTAGGGCTTTCCTCCACAACCACGTTAGCCCTGGTAACATCCTCCAGGAGGTGGCATTACGATGGTATTTTATATACGAGGAAACAGGCCCTTCGAGGTGAAGGGAAGTGCTAAAGTCACCCAGCAATTGTGTGAGAGCCTGCTCTACTCCAAATCCGAACAGCTAGACACTCTGTGACACAGTGAGAAGATTCAGGGATGGCTTCTGTCCCTAGGGAGGGCTGTGCATGTGAGGTTGTCACCCAGTGAGGTGAAAAATACGGGGTGTGGGGGGGCAGGTTTACAAGATAAACACTGGGCTCCCTATGACCTCACAGTCACGAGCAATGGTTAAAGTCAGGTGGGGCACACAAATTATACATTTTGCCAAAAGACGGCCCTGATAATCAAATGTTGTGCAACGAAGTGGTAGAAACCAAGACAGGGGAAAAAAAAAAAAGGCTGAGTGTGAAGTATGAATCTGCAGCCACACCGAATGTCTGCTGTTCAGCTTCCTGTGTGAAGCCATCTGTCAGTATCTGCTTTATGATACGGAAGATGTTCTCAGTGCTTTCACCAAGTTTCCATCCCACAGCATCTAGCAGGTTCCAAAAAGGCAACATCTGTTTGGTTTGTATTGTTTCCCCACCTCTGACCTTCTCTGACACTTGTAACATCAAAAGGTTTAGCTAAGAAAATGATATTAGCAACAACCATAAAAAGGTCTCTGAGGTTTTGCTTTGTTTGGGGAGTCCTGAAAATGTTGGGTAGCAAACGTAATGTAAAAAATAAACAAGACAGAATAAAAAGACTGTTTGGGGGCTGGAGATGCAGATCAGTGGGCAACATGATGAATGAAGCCTTGGGTTTAACCCCCAACGATACACAAATCAAAATGGACACACACACACACACACACACACACACACACACCCTGGAGCCTTGGCTGGAAAAACAGTTTTATGACATGAGGCACTGATAGTCTTTCAGTCTGTTTACTTCATCTGCAAAGTGAGGCCAATGATGCCTTACTGTTTCTGTATTAAATCAAATTATGTTTGAGTTGTATGCATTAAATAAAAATAGTATCCATCACAGTGTTAGGGCCATCAGCGGACACTTAATATAGTCTAATGCTTTCCTTCTGCTTTTGATGGATATGAGACATATCTTTTTGCTTTATTTGCCATGGCCAGTTATACTGCTGTGTGCATTAAATATTTAACAAATATGTCTGCTACCATGTACATAGTATGCAAGATTTTTTGTCTGTTTGAGATGTAGCCCAGGTTGTCCTTGAACTAGTGACCTTCCTAACTCAGCCTCCCTAGTGCTGTGCCTACATCTAGCTATCTTGCTTAGCCAGACTTTGGTTTTGAAATCGTGTGTTCTACACCATTCCATTGCATGCTTAATATTTATAAGAGAACAGTTAAAAATCTGGAAAATACTATTAAGTCTGTATGCCCACAAACGTCATCCAAATAAGCAAATAGTAGTAAAGGGAATTTTATCAGTGATCTTCGCATCAGCTTAGTTTGACAGATCAAAGATAAGCTGTACATCACCGAGAGATAAGCTTTGCTATCTCAACAGTGCGAGGAAAGAAAACATTCTCTTGGCCTCTGGGAAATTTAATTATCCTGATCTTGGCAGCACACTGACAATTGTTGAGTCTTATTTACAGAAATTAGCATTGCCAAGATACACTGTGAGGATGATGGGAAAGAACCTTGCAGCACTTGGGTCCTAGCTTAGCACATCACTCTTGCAGGACCCCTCCTGGGCGGGCCCTTTGGCTCTCCATGAGGATCCTTGTGGGGTCACCACATTATTCTCTGTCTGTGAGAAGCTTCCATCTCCTCCTACTGCTAAGTCCCCAGACCCTTTCAATGTGAGGCCTGAACTTCAAATGATAATTGGGGAAGCCAGCCCCACAACAAACTGACCCCCAGCGCCATACAATAAAAATCAATGCATTCTAGTGTCTCTCCATTCACTCCTGTCTCCATCTCCCACCTCGGGTTCTCCCTTTCCTCCGTCTCCGCACGTAAGCACTGCATGTCTCTTATTTCTGCGATACTATCCTGAAATATACACACACCTCCATACATGCGTATGTACCGAAAACCAGAAAGAACAGCGACACTGTAGGCACCCTGATGAGCCCAGGTTCCCCTCCACTTCAGAGTTTGCTCACCTAGAACCGTCTCAGAACCGAGGTGTTCTTCAGCTGGGCTCCCTGAGGTGGGCAAAACATCATCATCAAAGCTGATGAGGTCGATGTCCCCCAGGGTCTTGCCCTGCAGAGCTGGAACTGGAGGGTTGGCTGGAGGCCCTTCTCCCGGTGACCTGAACGCTTTGGCTTGTGATGCTACTGAGAGGCGGGGAGGGACCGAAACCAGTTTTGGTGGAACTGAAGTGTAAGTTGGGGCATCTGGGGAGGCCGATTTCTTCGGCAGCAAAGGCCGGGGCGCTGGAGTTGGGACTTTCTTCCCCGCGTCAGGGCTCTCGGCCATGGGCCTTCCTCCTGAAATCTCATGGTTCACACTGCGGGGAAGGCCAGGAGTTGGTTTCTTTGGCAATTCAGGTTTGGTTACTGGGATGCTTCCGGCTTCTGGTGGTGATGAGGATGGGGTGAGCCCTTCTCTGGAAGTAACCTTGAGCCTGTTTCTGGTCCACGAGTCCCACTGTCCAGAAGCCCTGTTAGCAGCTGGCTTGGGCGCCACCGAGGGTTTCCCTGAGGAAATAGCAGGCTTCGGGGGAACGGTGCGGGGAATGATCTCTGGTTTCTTGGGCAGTTCTGAGATTTCTGTACTTGTCTGACCCTCAAATGCTTTGATCCTGGAAACGATAGTATTTTGGCTTTGTTCTGTGTTCATAATGTTCATCACTGCCTGACTATCTAAGTTGCAGGTGCTGTCCAGCAGACACGGGGGTGGCCAGTCTTCTCTGAGGCCCGCGGGGCTTTTCCGGCTACCTTTCTCTTCACTGTTAGTATCTCTAGCTACTGGTCTGAGGTTGTTTTTTGATCTTGGTCTTGGCACTGGACATCTTGTAGCACTGGGGTTTTCAGGACAATTTTGCTCTTCAGAAATATCAAAGACGATTAAAGGTGCCACACTGGGTGGGAGATCACCAGCTGAGGCTGTTGGAGACGCCTGAAGAGGCTTGAGAGGCGTCTGTAGAGCTGGCAGGACCAAAGGAACAGAGCAAAGTTACGGTGTTATCATTTGAAAGTAAAAAACGTAGTGGAAGATATGTAGATTTTAAAAATATACATATAGGCTACCAAGAGATTTGGTAATTGTAAAACCACCGAGGAACTGTGTGTGGTCAGCTTACAGGGCTATACAACTTGCATTTGTTTACATAACATAGTCACTGTATATTTTAAAATACCATTAGATTCCTGGTTCTCATTAGACATCACCCGAACCATTTCTATCTGGTTGTCAAAACTCCAACAACTTTAATGCTTTCCTTTCCAAGGCAAGTCACTCTCATCCCTATCTCTTTGATGAACTAAATCCTCTGAAGAAGCGCAGAGAGCAATCTCCCTTAGCATCTTACCAGCTGAACCTGCTAAATGTAAAATCCTCCTCAAGGGGAGCTGAGGGGACCCATGCTAATGCAGAGTCTGAGTTAAACAGAGGATGTTTCTGTGATATGGACCAGGGATTGGGGTTGCAGCTCCCAGGAAAGCTCTATCATAGCAATCACTGCAATACCCGAATTAAGAAAGCACAGTGATCACAGAGCTAGGAAGCAGACCTCAATAAATTATGCATGACTTGCAAATTATTTTAAAGGCTGGGGGCCAGCTGATCCCAGCCCTAGACCTAGGCCCGAATTAGGGAAGACAGATTGCTTGCATTACTTTGAGGCAGATTGCTGTCTATTTCTTCCGGAAAGTCGGTCTGAGTGGCGGAAGTGCTGGTGCTCCTCGGCGTGGCAGCGGCATTATTGTTATTTGTAGAGTTCACCTGAACTTGGTTGATTTCTTTTATCACTTGCTCATAGGAGGGCGGGAGCTGGAAAGCAAAGAAAGAAAATTGCCTCCATCTACAGGCAACAGGCAAGGGGCTTCAAGGCTCCCTGCGAAAAGTCTTTGAATTTAAATTGAAAAGGAGAATGCCAAGAGCCAAGGCGGTGTTTAGTTACGAACCTCAGCAGGAACCAAGTCGTTTGGTCTCCAAGGGCCTGCTACAGGGCTGGAGGGGAATCCCAGTCCTGGTGGCGGAGCTCCTGGGAACCACGAAGCCGGCCTCAGTGGCTCTGCTGCCACAATGGTGATCTCCGGGCGCCTGGAAGATGGAGTCCCAGTGAGGTTCTCAGGTAGGAAACAAGTTACCATCATCAGAGACTCATGGCGGCAACCACTTCCCAAGAAAATGATCAAGATCTCTTAGAGGCCTCAGGAGGGCCTTTCTGGTACTGTGGCTGGATAGTCTAGCCAGGCAGGCTTCCAGGGAGCGAATGACCATCATCCTCCAAGGATCTTGAAAAGGTAGAGAATTAGGCCCAGTGCATTTAGACCTGCTTTGGTTGATAGTGGACGGGGCTAATTAAGGCTTTTCAGCTTTATTCCACAGCTCTGCTGTTGGCTAGCAGACCGCACAAATGTGTGGCGTATGGTAGAAAAGCATGCTGGTCCTTGACTTGTTTGGTTTTCTGTGATGATAAGGTATATATAGAGTGAAAGTTACCATGTGATGAGCATCATTGTTCTCACGCTATCTCTACCCCAACTTGACATTTCCTTTAAATGTTTTAAATTTACATGTTTAGCTTGAGAGCCCAGTGTGGACACACACTCCTAGTCAATCTTGTACAGGACTTGATGACTCATCTGGAATACTTCTATTGTAGTGACTCAGGAAAACCTTCCTTTACTACTCTTTTAGTCTACATTCTTTTTTAAAGATTTATTTATTTATTATGTACACAGAAGAGGGTGCCAGATCTCATTACAGATGGTTGCGAGCCACCATGTGGGTGCTGGGAATTGAACTCAGGACCTCTGGAAGAGCAGTCGGTGCTCTTAACCTCTGAGCCATCTCTCCAGCCCTGTTTTTTTTTTTTTTTGTTTTTTTGTTTTTTTTTGAGACAGGGTCTCATTGTGTAGCTCCGGCTGTCCTGGAACTCACTCTGTAGACCAGGCTGGCTTTGAACTCAGAGATTCCCCCTGTCTCTGCCTCCTGAGTGTTGGGATTAAAGGGGTGCGTCGCTATATATGTGTATGTGTGTGTGTGTGTGTGTGTGTGTGTGTGTATTAAAGGGGTAGGCTTCTGAGTCTACATTTTTATGTTTAGTTTTCAACTTGCTTTTCTAGCAAACTCCAGCTGTGTGGCCCTAGGAAAGCCAGTCAACTTCTCTGAACTTCAGTTTCTTATCTAACAAACAGGAATAATGATATTTACTTTGTTTTCTCTAGCACTCTGTGAAAACAGAACATATGTTATCACAACTGTGCATATATACACATTCTCCTATTAGTTTATGAAGTACGATAACCTTATCATTAATTAAGTTTGAACTGAATTCCCTAAAACCCCTGCTGATAGCCTTTTCTAACTGAGTAAGAGCTGCCTGTTAATGTTGAGCACTATAAATAGACATTAATCCCCATGACAACCTGTGAGGTAGGTGTGGCCAGCACCATTTTACAGAGACAGATACGGAAGCTAAGGAGGTACAGTAGCTTGTCCAAGGCCACATGGTAGGAAAATACTGAAGTCGGGATTTGAACTCGGCTCTGACTCAGTCTAGAGTCCTTCTGCTGGGATAAGTGGCTCACATCTGTCATCCTAACACTCAGAGGGCTGAGACAGGGAGGCTGCAGCAAGTCTGAGGCTTCCCAGGGCTACTGAATGAGTTCCAGACCAGTCTGGGCTACTGAGGGAAAACTGTCTCCTCTCTCCACCACCCCAAATAGTCCTGTTCTTCACTATTCTTTACTGTATTTGCAAAAAGTTGAAAGCAGGGATGTTGACTCATACAACTTTATCCATTCATTTATCTGCTTGTCCATTCTTTTGTCTATCTACTTTCTATTCATTCTACTATACATCCATCTATCTTTTTATGTATCTACCGGTCCATCCATTCATCCATCCATACATGTAGCTATCTATCCATCCACCACCCATGTATCCATCCACCCACCATCCATCCATCCATCCACCCACCATCCATCCATCCATCCATCCATCCATCCATCCATACATTCAACATCCATCCATCCATTCAACATCCATCCATCCGTCCATCCACCCACCATCCATCCGTCCATCCACCCACCATCCATCCATCCATTCATCCACCCATCCACCCACCATCCATCCTTCTATTCTCTTCTCTTTTACCACTCTCTTTCTATTCACCTCTGTACCATTTATCCATCCACACACCTATCTAGCCTCTTCTTTTACCCTTCTAACCCAATTTCTATCCTGCCCTCTGTTTGCATATCTAGGCAACATTTACTTATAAAGAACAGATTATTTCTCTGAGTCATTATAATAATATTTTACATCTAACAGTTGCTTAATAATTAATTTAAAATTGAATCCAGCAAACACAGAAGAATCTTTTAAGGCCTGTGTTACTTCTCTAAAGTAAAACCTTCATTTCTCAAGCTTATGGATTGATTCAGAGATGTGTTCTGAGGCAGAGCTCAGTGCTACATCGCTTATGAAGGCAAAATAATCTGCCAACTGATGAGATACTTTAATTTACATTATCAGAATATAATAAATGTAACCATACCTCCTATCCCGATGAAGTTCACTCTGAATACAGGTCCGAGAAGCTATGAGAGAAAAAATAAACTAGTGTAGCACCATACTAGTACAATCAGTGAAGATTCGATGTCTATAGAGTACACAATTAGAAATAAGTTAACTTATACAGGACACATATAGAAGGTATTACTTTTAATACCTCTAAGAAAAATAAATCAAAATGATCTTTGAATATGGCACAGGTAATTATAATCATATATTTGTATTACAGAAGAAAATAATAGATTTCAAATAGCATCTAAAATATGTCATTCTGAAAATCACAGTGTGAAGAATGAACACAGAAAAGAGTTATTAGAAAGAAACCACATGGCGGGGCATTGAGATTATGACATGAAGTAACAATGGGAAGAAAAATTGAAAGTTTATCTACAGGACTACCCTATTACAATAGTTTAAATTTCTATTGTAAAAAGTATAGAATTAATACATTTTTAAAATCTGTTTTCTAACTTTTTTGACCTTTACAGTAGTTTTCTTGATTAAAAAAATAATAATAAATAAAAAGGTACTCAAAACACTTTCATAACCATTTTTATAACACACATTTTTGTGTGTGAAGCAGTGACTTTTCCCTCAAGTCTCAAACTCAAAACTCTCCATGGCAGCCAGGTATGGTGGCACAGGTCTTTAGTCCCAGTGCTGAGGCAGAGGTAAGTAGATCTCTATGAGTCCAGTGCTAGCCTGGTCTACATAGTGAGTTCCAGGCTGGTCCAAGCTACATAGTGAGACTGCTTACTCACCTCGCCCGACCCAAATAAAAGCTCCATGGCTTAAATTTTTTCCTGAATTTTATTTATAAAATAAATAAATTCAATAGGACAATGTGGCAGATGGGTCACATTTGGAGATCCATTTTGATATAATGGAACATTATCTTGATTTTCAAAGATCCCTTTAGTGAGTGGTATCTTCAACCTATTCTACCATAAAGACTTGCACAGAAGGGCATTTGTTTGTGAGACAGACTACTCCAATGGCGGCTTTCACTGCCAGCCTCTCTGTTACACTCTCCCGGTGCTTCTAATTTGGGAAGATTGGAAGCGTGCATCTATCTCTTCTTCCTCTTCCAACTTTTCTCTGAGCATGGCTGCCAGAGCTGAGGGTGCCACCGGTGAATGCAAGAATGGAATTTGAACTACACTTAGAGCTGGGACAGCTGAACCTGTACTGGGCTGCATAGGTGAAACCTCCAAGACATGAAACCCAAACCCACGTAGGGATCTCGACTTGGAACATGCTCGTAGCATCATCTGGCTCCACTGACAGCTGATTTCGCATCAAAGCTGAGCCACCCTGAGGGATGTTTATCTACTAGAACAGGAGAGGAGGTCAGAGCTCTGCGTGAGATGTCTGATTGGTAAGAAGGTTTCATTGCGTCAGAATTGCCCAAGCACGCTGCAGTTACATCCCCACCATCACCACGGAAGCTGGAATCAGCAGACATGGCACTTTCCCCAAGACTTAAGTCTTATTGGCATAAACGTACCTCTTCCACGGGGCATTGTGCTGTGTGCTATTCATGAGTGCTAAGGGAGAAAAAGAAGGGGTTACAGAAAAGGAAAGGGAGGGAAAGGGTGAGCCAGTTGCCTATGCTCTACGAGGAACTCAGCAGCAAGACCACCTGCCACGCTGCTTTTTACCTAGGAGATATTGCCTCTACTCTCAAGGAGCCCATTCTAAAGATTCATCTGTGGGGAAGATCTCCAAGTTCTCCCTGATTCTGCTCACTTAAATGGAGAAGAAAAGCTGACGAACCATAGTTTCAGATGGTAAGAAGTAAGTTGAGATGTCGATTTGTAATGTTACCACCAATACAGAACCCTCCATGTTTTAGTGGGAGCATAAGCCTGGATAGATCTTCCTTAAACCACGGGAAGAGAGATGCCTATTCAAATCAGCAGCTCGAGGTCACACAGCTGTGATGGTGAGCAAGGTTAGGAGGAGTCTGTTTCTGGAAATTGTTTGGCTCCTGTGGTACTGGGTGAGTGGGACATTAGTTCTGATCCTAAATTATTTAAAATTATCTATGAAATGATTAGAGCAAACAGAAGGATTTTTTAGGTTATAAATGTCCTTGTTACAGAATCACCTTATTGGTAAAAGTCACAATAATAAAAAACTCAACAACGGCTACATTGTTTTGGACAGGGTGTGAGCGGATGCCTGTGACCTGACATCGAGGTCATGCAGAGTAGCGAACTTCGGGAGTCCAGTCCACATCTCAACTCTACCTTGTGAACTGTTTACCTCCCTAGATTTCAGCTTCCCTGCAGCTGTAAAACAGGGTTAGCTCACAGTCTGCTGACGGTGTTGCTTCCCAAGTGTGAGACAGCTCCCAACTCATGGTATGGAAACAGTGTCGGCTAAATGTGAATTCTACAGACATATTTGTCTAAAAAAGCTCATGAAATGGCCAAGAGTTGTGGCACATGCCTATAATCTCAGCACTTCAGAGGCAAGAGAATCACTATAAGCTCAAGGCCAGCCTGGTATACATGAGTTCCAGGCTAGCCTGGACTATGTAACAAAACCCTGTCTTTAAAAAAACCAAAGAAAATAAAGAGAAAAAAAAAGACAATGAAAGGTCATATAGATCCAATTAGCACACATAAAAAAAACTTTAAAAAATATTTAGGACTCATAAGAATGAATGTACAAAGACCCACCATAGACTGGAACTAGAATCAATATTAAAGAATTTGAAAAGCAATTGGCTGTAGAATATTGCCTTAAAAAAGTAACAAAGGCTCTCTTCTTGTCAGTGTTAGATGGTTGAATCTGGGGGAGTAAAACATCCTTTTTTTTTTTGAAACACGGTTTCTCTGTGTAGCTTTGGAGCCTGTCATGGAACTCACTCTGTAGCCCAGGCTGGCCTTGAACTCACAGAGATCCGCCTGTCTCTGTCTCCCAAGTGCTGGGATTAAAGGCGTGTGCCACCACCGCCCCACTAAAACATGCGTCTTAAATAGCTGCTAAGATTAAAAAAAAAAAAAAAAAGAACAAAACCAAAAAAAACTACAACTTTTTCTTTAATTTTTTTTTTTTTTTAATTAGTGGCTAGGGAGATGGTTCAATGGTTAAGAGCAGTGGCTGCTCTTCCAGAGGACCCAGGTTGGATTCCTAGCACCCACCATCAGTAACTATTCATATGGATGTTTGTCTGCATGTACGTCTGTGTACTCTGTGCATGCCTGGTGCCCTCAGAGGCCAGAAAGGAGTATTGGATCCCCGAGGACTAGAGTCACAGATGTTTGTGAGCTACCAGGTGAGTTCTGGAAATCAAACCTGGCGTTTCCGGAAGAGCATCCAGTGCTCTTAACCCCTGAGCCATCTCTCCAGCCCTACAACTGTTCTTAAACAGACTAAAGGAGGAATGGGGGTGGTAATCATTCCTCATTTTGTTGATAGGAATGGGAATGCTGCATCTATCTGGCCTTCTTGTCTAGCAACAGAACAAATGCAGACACTTGTGTAGTTGTTACGATGGGAAGGACACACAGGAATTAAAAGACAATTGGGTCATTAGAACCCCGGATCTAGCTCAGGTTCCCTTTGCTCCATCTCCCCCGTCCCTCAGCTAGGGCTGCTGTGCCACCTTCCTCTTCTCTCACGCCCCCCTCCCCCCGTTGATCCCCGGTGACAGCTGCCCCGCCAGACGCAAACACCCCCAAGCTTGCTCATCCTCAACACCCCCAAGCTTGCTCATCCTCAGCCGTCTGCAAACAGATTCTCTCTGCAGGACTCTGCTGATTTCTCAAACACCAGCCCCTCTCTTCCTGTGACTCCCAAACTTCATTCCATTCATTGTTCAAATGTTCTGCAGTCACTGCTGTGTCCACTGAGCTCCCAGGCGTGGCACGGGATGGCCTGTCCTTGGCCACCATTGCTCGGTCTCATGGCTCCACTGTTATATGTTCATCCGTTCACAGCTTCCTCCTTCAGCTTCACAGGCAGCTGTCTCCAGGTTTTGCTGCTACCCTGGCCACTTGGTTTTGGTTTGTTCTGCCCTTTCTCCCCAGTGGCCCTCTCTTTAAGCCTTGCACAGTCTAAGCAAACTCCACCCTGGGGACTCTGTGGGGAGTTAGGTACAAAGTGGAACTCTGTCCTAACAGCGTCCTCACACCCCGGGGAAGGAGAGGGAAGACGCCAGGCAGTGACAACATGCCTCCCTCCTCAGCAGGCAAGGATTTACAGAGATGACCACACATCTCCTCCAGTACTGTCCCTTAACGGGAAGAGCTTTAAGAGACACCAAAAGATTCTGTCTCTTGTTATTTTTTTTTTTCCTTCCCAAGGTGAGTGCCAGGGACCAAACCCCAGTCCTCTGAAAGAAACCACCGACCTTCTCTCTACCCCAAGACGACATATTTTTATGAACTGCCACTGTATTGAGTTTTTACTGTAATTGCTCAAATCCATGTTCTTCATGACCTGTGGACGCCTTAAATTCATATTATATATTAAAAGTTATATATATATATATATATATATATATATATATATATAAAAACTAAAATAGACTATATTCTTTCTAGTGTGGTGATCTCGGCTCAGATACTGAATAAAACATCTAAAATCACACCTTTTACTTTTTCTGTAACAGGTAATCCATGTCCTGTTTAAATAAAGACCTTTTCAGAGCCTTTATTTACAAAATGTTAAAGTCCTATACCAACAGCAAATTATAAAACACCATCCAAGGGGTAAAGACACGAAATATAAATGTTAAGTTTGGAGAGAATTCTACTTATGGCACTTCTTATTTTTATAGGTATGAGCCTATCTTTATAGGCATATATATAAATATATATATATAATTATATTTATAATTTTAAAAATTTTATGAAGAAGCCAGGCAGTGGTGGCACACACCTTTAATCCCAGCATTTGGGAGGCAGAGGCAAGCAGATCTCTGAGTTCAAGGTCAGCCTGGGCTACAAAGCAAATTCCAGGATAGCCAGGGCTACACAGAGAAACCTGTCTTGACCTCCCTCCCTTAAAAAAAAAAAAAATCATGAAGAAAGCAAATTAATCAAAACAGCCAGGCGGTGGTGGCGCACGCCTTTAATCCCAGCACTCGGGAGGCAGAGCCAGGCGGATCTCTGTGAGTTCGAGGCCAGCCTGGTCTCCAAAGCGAGTTCCAGGAAAGGCGCAAAGCTACACAGAGAAACCCTGTCTCGAAAAACCAAAAAAAAAAAAAAAAAAAAAAAAAAAAAAAAAAAAAAAAAAAAATTAATCAAAACAGAGATGATTTAATATTCTTTTTATTTTTTGTTTTATGTGTCTGGGTGTTTTGCTTGTCTGTATGTCTGGGCACCATGAGAATGCCTAATGTCCTTTAGTTCAGAAAGGGCATCTGGTCCACTGGAACTGGAGTTACCGGCAGTTGTGAGCTGCCATGTGGGCGCTGAGAATTGAACCCAGATCCTCTGGAAGAACAGCCTGTGATATTAACCACTGAGCCATCTCTCTAGCCCAGGGTTTAATATTATTTTTTAAACGCAGCAGACAGATATCTCATACTTTAGAAAAATTGTTACACAAAATTCTATCCGCGCATAGTCACTGCATTACCAGATTTAAGATTTTCTTTTTTTTTTTTTTTTTTTTGGTTTTTCGAGACAGGGTTTCTCTGTGTAGCTTTGCGCCTCTCCTGGAACTCACTTGGTAGCCCAGGCTGGCCTCGAACTCACAGAGATCCGCCTGGCTCTGCCTCCCAAGTGCTGGGATTAAAGGCGTGCGCCACCACCGCCCGGCTTCATTTTGTTTTTTGAGACAGGGTCTCATGTAGCCCAGGCTGCCCTCAAATTCCAAGGATGATGATGAACTCTGGATCCTCCAGTTCCTACCTCCCACTTGCTAGACTACAGGCACGTGCCCACCATGCCCAGCTCTGGGTTTTGTTTTAAATTACTTGATCTTAGGAGGGAAAAGTAGAATTCTGAGATACTAGCTGATCAACCTATGACAGGTGAAAAACCAGCTGTCAAAAACGCATTGTTGCCGGGCGGTGATGGTGTAAGCCTTTAATCCCAGCACTCAGGAGGCAGAGCCAGGCGGATCTCTGTAAGTTCGAGGCCAGCCTGGGCTACCAAGTGAGTTCCAGGAAAGGCGCAAAGCTACACAGAGAAACCCTGTCTCGAAAAACCAAAAAAAAAAAAAAAACAAAAACAAAAACAAAAAAACCAAAACGCATTGTTACCTCTTAAGAGAAGCTATACTTGCTGAGGCCTTTGTGGATCCATCATCCAACCACTTACTGAGAACTTGAACCACCATTTGTAACTACCACAGAGGAAAACACAGAGCAGAAGAAAATGAACTTACATCTCTTGATTACCGCTCTAATGGATGACAAGGGTCCTTGGCTAGAAAAAGAAAGAGAGAAGATGTATTACACATTCATCAGTCCTGAGGAGAACAGTTTTTCACAACGCCAGGTCATTTGGGGGCATAAGCCATTAACTATTGGTCTCTTTGCCGAACAAAAATGAATGAAAAACTTAAAATTGCCTTTTATATTACGATGCCTTAAAATTGCTTAGAAGTTCATAGAATTTCTACAAATTATAGAAACCTACAAATGATACACAAATAAGTATGTTCATACAAAAATTCATAGAAACCTACAAATTACATCTCCCAGTGGAAATCTGGACACGCCTCATCGTCAGATAGTATTATTGCACGAAGCTCAAAAGAGCTTTCCATAGCTCTCCCACAACCTGACAGCAGATCTAAATACACTATCTGATTATCAGTTCGACCTAAGGGCCAACAATTTCTTCTTTAGATCGGGCTTTAAAATATCTCAACCCAACAAAGAAATCTACTTTTTTCGGGTTCTGTTGAGTAGCTGGCGGTGGCTTCCTGTTGACTTGGTATAGCCTCTTCTCCCAGTGAGCTCCTTCATTGGTCAAGATGCTCTAGCTACAAAATATGTGAGTTTGATGTTTGTGTTGTTTTTATTCAAATCAGCTGTATTGTCTTTGGGACCATTTTAAAAAACAGACAACCAGTTCAATGAGAAGACTTAGGGGAAAAAAACCAACAAAATAATTTGTTTATAATATTCCTTACATTTTACACAATAATGGACCAGGTATGGTGGTCATGCCCACATTCCCATTAATACCCAGGAAGCTAAGGTGGCAAGACTGTGAGCTGAAGCCAGCCCAGGCTGTAGAGTCAACTGAAAGTCTGGGATTTGGAGATATATACATCACATCCCAGAAAACCAACTACAAAACAAGAAACAAAATGGCTTCCATCACGGCTTTTTCATGCAGGCACATACTATACTTTTGCATTCCCATTCTCACCCTGCCCTGCCCCCCACTCCGAATATTTATTCTTTGACTACAGCAAAACACATATGACCTCCTGCATTTCAGAAAAATGCAATTACTTGTGATTTTATTAACAGGGCTGTGGTCAGCCTGATTTGCATCCCCAAAGAGGAACCAAGTGAGCTATGGAATAGTTTGTGTTTCTGTTCTGTGTGCCCTGGATGTAACTCACACCACCATGTATTAACTTTTGAATTAAAGTAATATATTATGTAACAGAAAAAAAGGAAGCACTGTTCTATAAGAACTCTGCTCCACAAATATAAAGGAATAATGATATTTCAGTAGTCTGAATTAATATCATAACACACTATGTTGGGCTAGAATGCTAGAAACTGTAAAAAATAGGAGAAAGTGTAGTTTCACGAAGTGAGTGAAAAAAAAATCTTACAGTTCTAAAATTTGGATAAGCTTCATACTTAAGAGGTAGAGAATGAAGGTTTGTAAAAGGGGGGCCAGGGATGAGTTGGCAGAGTACTGCTTGAGGTTTGATTCCGAGCACCACATACATCAGCTGTGGAGGCGCAGGCTCGGAACCCCATCACTCTGGAAGTGGAGACAGAAGGAGCTTCAAGCTCATCCTCAGGCACAAAATGAGTTTGTGGCCAACCTGGGCTCTGTGAGACCCTATCTTTAAAAAGCAAACAAAGAAAACTAATTGTGATCCAACTGGAGTGACTTTCAAGGAGGGGAGCTGACTGTACGTACGCAGGCTAACACACGGCACACGCTTGTCCATCTGCTACCACCGAGCTACATTTCCAGCCTCAGGGAATGGCTTTGGCTAAAATTAAAAACTGTGACACAACAAAAAAGAATTTCTAAACTGGGAGTGATAGGCACACTTATCATCCCAGCCCTTGGAGGGTGAGTCTGAGGCTAGCCTGAGTTCATAGCCAGATATAGGTGAGCTTCAGCTACTTGGCAAGCTTGTGTCTCAAAACTAAAAGAAAAACAACAACAAAAACCCAATACAAAAACAAAAAACAAACAAACAACAAAAAAAACTAAACAAAACACCCAAAGCAAAGCAAAACAAAAACTACAAAAAACAAACAAAATCTTTCTGCAATTAAATCTCTGAAATCTGTAAGGAAAAGGTACATGAGTTGGAATTCACTCACCTTTGGTCACTGACAGTCAAATTTCTGATCGTTAAGATCGATACCATGTGTATGTAGCTGTACTAACTGAACTCAGTGGGTCATACAAAGAAGGTATCAGGGTGGGAGGGGCCATGTTGAGCGGCAGGTCTGGGAGAAGGGGAGGCAGTGGGTGGTTATGATCAAGATACATTGTATATACAGGTATGGATTTATCAAAGAATAAGTAAAAATATTCTTTAAAAAGATCAGTCGGGCGGTGGCGGCGCACGCCTTTAATCCCAGCACTTGGGAGGCAGAGCCAGGTGGATCTCTGTGAGTTCGAGGCCAGCCTGGGCTACAGAGTGAGTTCCAGGAAAGGTGCAAAGCTACACAGAGAAACCCTGTCTAGAAAGAACAAAAACAAAACAAAACAAAACAAAAAGATCAATAATATGCCTGGGTATGGTGGCACATGACTTTAATCCCAGAAGTAGAGGCAGGTGGATCTCTGTGAGCTTGAGGCCAACCTGATCTACAGAGCTAGTTCCAGGACATCTGGAGCTATATAGTGAGACCCTGGCTGAAAAAACCAAAATGATCAATAATACAATATCAAGTTTTACCAGGCACTTTTCTATTCATCTTTTTCAAAGATAAGCAAATCATATACAGGATAGAAACAACTAATTTCAATGAGTTACATTTATATGCTACATATTTGTTGGGGGTGACAGGCTGGTAGGCTGTATGATGTGCCTACGTGTTGACTGGAGCTACATCCATGTCAAAAAGAAGGGTACAAAATCAGCAAGAGACAGACCTACTTTCCCACCTCTGTGACAGGCCATTCTATTAACTTTCTGTTGCTCTTTTGACTCTAAAATGAAGATATGATTTCTATCCTCTAGCTGGCTGTTAAGACTCAAAGGGAAACAATATAAAGTATATTAACCCAGAGCTGCTATATATTAGTCTTAAAAATGTTGTATTTCTTACTCTACTTTTGGATATTGAAATCTCTATAGTTCATAATATACATGGCTGAAATTTTGTTTTTGTTTTTGAGATAGACTCTCAAAAGCATGTTCTGGGCTGGTCTCAAACTAATCATGTGGTTGAGGATGACCTGGAATTTCTGATCCTCCTGCCTCTGTCTCTGGAATACTGGGGTTATGGGCGCATGTTACTACACCTAGATTATATGGTGCTATGGATTGAACTCAAGGCTTCATTCATGACAAGCAGGCATTCTGTCAATTGTCCTACATCCCCAGCCAGGCTGAAAATTTCAGAGCTACTGAGTTGACACCTGTTGGGCTGATCTAGAGTTACCATAATCTTATCCTGAAAATTCAAATATTTTGTATTCCTGTTGGAACTACTATTCTTCATTTAACAAACATTCCGAGTCTCCCAAAACATACTTCTTGTATACCTCATCTCTCATGGCGTCCAAGCAAAGGCAAAGAGAAGAAGCCATACACTTTGGTAACACGTTCTTATTTCCACTGTAAACACAGACAGTCCTCTGTTCTTTTAGGTCCCCCTCCCAGGATGTGTTCTACAAAATGACCATGGTGATCAGTGGCTCTGTTGATTTAGTTTTGTATTGCTTTAAGTCTATTAAAAAGAAATTCTATAAAAAGTTCAAAGATCACGGAAAATGCTTTCAACTGTTATAACTACAGAACATTTAAAACTGGAGTGTGCTGCCCTGTCCTTCCTAATTCTCTCTCTCTTTTTTTTTTTTTCATACGTGCATGTCTTGACTTCCTAATTAGACTGCAGGTTTCTCAAGGGGAAATAATGGCCTCTCCCCATTTTCACAGAGCAGCTCACTGGAACTGCACCATGTGCTCACTGAACTAACGTGAACTCAATCCTACTTGCAGGCAGAAAGAAATATAATTGAACTAGTTCCAGTGATTCCACCCACAACCCACTCAGCACACAAATCCACAGGACTGATTTTGCTGCTGGTTTTGTCCTCTTGATATCAATACCCAGCTACTCCCTGTCATGTAGGACTTGCCCAAGGTGTCTGTGTCTAAAACCAGGAACTGTTCACAGGACCTGGTGGCACACACCTATAATTCAGCCCTGAGGTGACAAAGGTAGGAGGGTGTGGGTTCAAGGCCAGTCTGGGTTACACAGTAAGACCTTGGTTCAAAAACTCAATAACCTGGGATATAGCTCAGTGGCAGAGCATGTGACTCACATGTCCTGAGCCTTGGGTCCATAGCCAGCACTGGGGGAAGTAAAGAAGTACTTTTCATACAGAACATCACCTTGACAAGCATCTGGCACTCACCGGAGGACTGGCCTGGCTACCAGCAATGGATGGCAGAGTGGTGATCAAGTTGACCTTACTGCATGATGGTGCTTTAGACTCCAACACTTGATTTGGTAACAGAAGGAAACCTTAAGTGTCAGTTCATAGAATGTCAGGAGTGAAGTTTTTGTTTTTGTAACTGCATACTATATTTAAGAGATTCTCTCATTATAAGACTCCAGTAGCCCCCAATAAACGGGGCACAGACTGCTAGACTGCTAGTTTCAAGCCATGTGTAACATACAGTAACACATTATGATACTCATCAGATAAAATGTGTCTCTATCGGGCTCGCTATATGATGGGGAGCAGGCATAACTCATTTGCCAAGAAATGTGTGGCATAATGTCCAGTCGGCACCTGAGAAAGGTGGCATTTACTGCAACGTGTCCAGTGTGACCTCTAACCTCTTCAAACGTGAACACAGAGAGGACTATGAGTCTGACGGATAATTGCGCTCAGTAAACATCTATTGAGAGAATCAAAGAATTAAGTAACTGAAAGAGATCTTTTCTGGGGTATTTGTTATCTTTCTTCTACAGCCAGCCTAGCCTGATCTAAGGAAAGTTTCTACAAAAATCCTAAAAAGGAGGGGATATAAC